AAGTGAATACATCATGAGACAAACTATTAAACGGTTTATTATTACTTACCACCACAATCAGCAATAACCTCTTTTACGATAATAAATACCCCGTCGGGAACTCGTGACGTCATACAAGGTGTTGAATTTTTTAAGATCATTTTTTGTGGAAAATATTTACTTTCTGGTCCTCAAAACAGTATCCACAACTGAGCAACAATTATTTATAATTCTAATGAAAGCCTTGATGAACCTTAAACTTGATAAGCTTTAACATCAAATATCACTCTTCCTTCAATATATTCAAGACTTGTTTCTTCCAAATGAAAATTACTAATATGTCAATAGACGGCAGCCGCTCAGTTTAAGATGTAAGCGGCTAACAATCGCTACTGCAAAGCGCACTGTTTCAGGGGTGTTGAGCAATGCTTGTGTTATGAGTCTTCAAGATGACGTCTTTAAAACAACAAATACAAATATATAAAAGCACAGCAAACAATACTTACTTTAAAATGACTTGCAAAGCAAAAAAAAATCACGCGAGAAGCCATATCCTACCGCCTTGCTATGACTAACTTAGTAAAAGCTTTGGTCTAATGGTTTTAAGTTTATTTCTATTCTTTGTAATCATTTTGTGGGATATTTTTTCCCGGGAAAATCGGTTGTAATTTCGCCACTTTAAATGAACAAATCAAACTTTTAATTTCAGGAGATTCGCCGAGAAATTTCAAAAGCAGCGAAGAATATTTTTTGTCAAAAATTAGCCGAAATAAAAATCAAGGTCTATAAGGAAAAAACCCAAAACTCAGCTGTGATGAAAGTAAGGGTTCACTCATTCAGCCCCCGAGGGTCATTAATTACAGCTAGAATGATAAGAGTGTTTGCAATCAACCTTTCAGGATATTTCAACCTTAGCTTTTTCTCTATAATTAAATTAAAATTTTCATTTTAATGTTTTTGACAAATGTGGGATGAGTATGAATTTCTTTAAACCTTATGTGAACGGATTTTGATAAATTTTACGTCGTATCAGTAAATTTGTAATTTCTTCGAAACCTGTTAGAATATAAATCGAAAAAAAACTTTACAAGAAATGTAAATATTTTTAGCGTGCAAAGGTAATGATTGAAGATTGGGGTTATGTTTACCAATGAACCTAACGAAAACTTTTGGTGTGAACGCACTATCGCCTAATGAATGGCTACTTTAACACTTTTTGATTACAGTCACCTTGGTAGTATTTTTTTTTTATTATTATTAATATAATGTTTGCTCTTGTGAAGAGACAACATTACTTAGAAATTCTCGTTTTGCCTTCGTGTTATATTATGAGGGGCTAGATGGGGTTATGGTTTTTACGGCTGACGGCTAAAGTTTCTTTCCATTATAATTAAAAAAAACGTTGCAGTTAACTTTTTTTTCGACCAATAGTTGAAAATTGGTTAATTTTTACGCCCGACGGCTAATTTGTTCTCGTCATTTTACGGCTTACGGTTAACTCCATTGGGATCTTTTACATCAACAACACAAAGAGTGCCCTTCATTACTTTAATCTCATTTTCAACCTTTAGAACTTTGAAATACAGTGTTAGTCTTCTTCAGGCGATGAAGTTGACTGGTCATGCGTGATCTCATAAAGCATGATGCTCTGCTGTGATTAACTGTTTTTCAACAGCTCTGATTGGTGCATTTCGATCCTTGCTGTTCACTCAGGGATTTGCTCCCTCGGCGGTCCGCTGTCACACGGCTCTCCTGTTATTGTGTTTTTTGATCGTGGGCATCCGCGCTTCTGGAATTTCTATACCACTATCGCTGTTGATGTTGTTAGGGTGAAGCTTCATATGAATTGCCTCTTTGACCCTGCGCGTGTAGTAATAAGGGCACGATCAATAAACTTTACTTCTTTCCAGAGTGGGTTGTGTCCGGTGTTGTGGGCATGCTCTGAAACGGCGGAGGTCTCGGTACGGGCGAGTCGAATGTCTCAATCGTGCTCCTTAATTCTGTCTTGCATAGGTCTTCCAGTCTCTCCGATGTACACCTTACCGCATTCATATGGAATCCTGTAAACTACGCCACCTTGTTTTGTGAAGAAGACTAGCAGTATGCAGTCGAAACGTCGCCATCTACATCACACGTGACTACATCGTGAGACAAACAAAAAACTTAGCTTTTATTGTTATTCACCACTATGAATAACCACAACCCTTTCCTACGAAATTAAACGGTTCAGAGTAGTGTAGAATGGCTTAAGTTATCGGCAAATGGTTAATCGTAAGGCGCAATGGCTTAGTATCGCATCAATCTACTCACCGTAAAGTGAAATGGTTTAGCGTGACCCAAATGGTTTTAGCGTGACGACAAATAGTTCAGGTGTGACGACAAACAGTTCAGCGTGATGACAAATGGCTCAGCGTGACGACAAATGGTTTAGCGTGACCCCAAATAGTTTACCGTGACCCCAAATGGTTTAGAGAAACAAACGGAAAGACAAAAAAACTGATAAAATGCATCATTTACGCATCAACACATTTAAAGTCTAGACAGTCAGAACCACAGCTAGTAAACGTGATAAAGTGATTCATTGTTTTAAGACGACGAAACAACAACTAAAGGGCGCCTAAAAACTTTTAAAACTACATAGTTATAAATAGTTTATAGTGACTATAGTGGAAACTGCTGTATTTTAAGTAGAGAATTCTTACCACGGTCACGCGTAACCATGGTAAGAATTCTCCATTTTACTACCTCAAGATAGAATAACAATCTGAATCAAATGGAATGACAAAAATACTGATAAAATGCATCATTTTACGCATCAGCACATTTTAAGTCTAGACAGTTAGAACCATAACTGGGGAACGTGATAAAGCGATTCATTGTTTTAAAACGACGAAACTACAACTAAAGGGCGCCTGAAAAAACTTTAAAAACTATATAGTTAAAAGCTACATAGTTGTAAATAGTTTATAGTGGAAACTGCTGTATTTTAAGTGGAGAATTCTTGCCATGGTCACGCGTGACCATGGTAAGAATTCTCCATTTTACAACCTCAAGATAAAATAAGAATCTGAAACAAAAGAGTGACAAAAATACATCATTTTACGCAACAGCACATTTAAATTCTAGACAGTGAGAACCATGGCTAAGAAACGTGATAAAGCGATTCATTGTTTTAAGACGACGAAACTACAACTAAAGGGCGCCTAAAAACTGTAAAAACTGCAGGTTTGTGACGTAAGACCCCACATATACTGTTCCTTGTATTTTCGGCGGTAACGGCGTAAACCAACTGCTGTAACACTAAACCATTTCGGTTTGAACTAATCCTTTTGTCGTCACGCTAAACCATTGCACTTTACGGTGAGTAGATTGATGGGATACTAAGCCATTGCGGCTCACGATTAACCATTTGGCGATAACTTAAGCCATTTCACACTACTCTGAACCGTTTGTGTCAAGTCACTGAACCAAAGTACAGTTAGCTGAACCGTTTGTCATTTCGACACTGAACCATTTCAGGTAACACTTGGCCAATCGTGTTTTTATTGAATCAGTTAAACAAGGGTGGCTACACATGCAGTTTCTGAATTGTATAAATCATTTTTTGTTTGAATAATTAACTTCACCAAAGGCGACTTGTCCATTTGTATTTTAAATAAATCTCGTGAGATAAGATAAAGCGTTCTCCAAAAGATAATTAGACCATTTCTGTTGATTACAAACCATTTATTATGCATATGTTTTTGGCGGTGACGGCCGCCCATAGAGGACCATTTTACTCTAAGCAGTCAAAGCTGTCAGGTTTATGAAGCAGCAAATAATTTCCTAATCTCATACAGATAAGCCCCGCATCCCAGATTTGTGGAAAGTGACAGGACAAGGTAAAACAATTTGCGCATACGATATAGTTTTGGCGATCGAGTTCGTTGTGTAACTGAATTCTATTTGTGAACTTTTTATCCATTTCAAGGTTATTAAGGGAAAATAATGGAAATATCAAACAATTTAAACCAACACATTAAAAACACCCAATCATGTGCGTAGCGAGATCAAAAACCTAAAAATCCAAACTTACCATTCACTTGGTTGATATAATGCAAACTTTTAAATATACTTAAATTTCATCATATACTTTAAAGGACTTCGAATTCATCTTTAAAAACTAAATTATCCTTTTCTGAATTATGAAGGCATTTAGCAAGTATGTACATCACACTTGATGGCACAGAAATTAAAATTTTGGGAATGTAATTTTTGCAGGTTGGCCATTTCTTTACGATGAAGGTAGAATTTTGCAGTCAGGGATGATCGAGATTTCTGCTGAAAAATAATGTTTGAGATTTCCTATTCAAGCAGCTGAACATTAGGAAGGAAGAAAGCGTAATATATCAATTTATCTAGAAACCATAGTTGGGGTAACATCTTCATCCTCTCGCTCAGAAAGTCGTTTTCTGAGTCCGTGTCATAGTAACACCTGACTTCACAAAGACTCGCACAACAACAACAACAACAAAAATCCCACAAGAGGCCAAAATGCTGCCCCCTTGCCATGAAAAGTTTCATAAAAGCGTTGGCTTAAAAAAATTCATGAGCATCTTTTTATTATTTTCAATCATTGTGTTGGTTTTGTTGCTGCGGAACCTTTCGAAAAGTCTGCAAACTTTCATGCGATACAGTAGCGACCACTTCCCACAAAAATCTCTTAAAAATTTCACCAACGCAGCTAGGCAAATCTAATTTTGAAATACTATCAATGATTTTTTTTAAAGCTTTAAGCAGCTGTGCGCTTGCTTTAAACTTGGACTGAGCAAAATGGGGTGTAATTCCATCTATTTAATAGTAAGAGAAATGTTCTCTCCATGCATAGCTCAAGGAGTTTTAAAATTATTTTTTAGTGAGCTTCGAACAGCTGATTACACCTTTATAAAAAGGTGACATAAATATGTTTGATTGACATAAATATGTTTGATTGACATAAATATGTTTGATTGACATAACCAGGATATAAAGATGAAACATAGGCTCTTCAGTGCATTTTAGCGATACAGCTTGATGATGAAGACTTTTTTTCTTGTGGTTTTTCTTCTTTTTGGCTTTGCCAGCGCCAAACCAAAACCGGCAAAGCGAGCGTTGTTATGCGATGGTAAGAACAAGTCTCTCATTTTTGTTACTGTTTTAATTTCAAACCTCTTATTTTCGAAGCAACTGCGATTTAGAGTGTTTTGTTTTCTGTTGTTTATTTTTTTCTTTAAATGCATAAATCGCGATGATAACGGTAATAGCTATAACCTACTTAACTTATTCAACCTAAGATTGTTGATTAAAGAATTGCATCCTTTAATTTCTTACCAAACTTTTATTGAACGTATTTTTCTTATTGCTGTTCTCTTTAGCCTTTCCAGCTAAGTTGAGTGGAAGACTTTACATGGTAAGTTCAATTATTTCTCTCAAGAGTGATCAGCCGGTTGAATCAGGTGCTAAGTGTTGCAAGGCGATAAAAAGCAACAACAACAACAACTGCAGCAATAAATTAAAGATATCAAATAAGTTCATCGGTTCAATAAGGGTAAAAGTTGTTTGAATGTACATACTTGGCAGGGAACGAATTAAACTGGCTTTTTCTTAATTCCCAAAAGGAGGGGATCTAAAGCTTTCACCACAGCTATCTTATGTACGACGCTGTGAGAAATCACTCACCTCGTGAGATTCTCGCCTACAATGTAGAGTCACATCTTAAAACTGTAAGATTCTGGGTCGTTCGAAGCTCACTTACTACAAGGTGAACGAGGGGGCAAATCTAAGGTCGGTAGTCATATGACTTAAACAGCTCAATTTATTTTTGGAATTTTAAGAGACAATTTGGCTCCGTGGTATGGGCGCTGGGCTGGTAATCTGGTGGTATAAGGGTCAAGCCATCCACCTTGCTACTCACTGGAATGTTTCTTAGTTACCCCGAGTTTTACATCTTGGCTGCGCCTTGTTTATAGCCAGCTGACCTGCCTTAAGCCAGTTTGGAATTTAAAAGTGCTACATTAATGAAAATTTTTTGTTTCCAATTTTGTACGTATTAGCCGTGAAAAACCCCTTTAGGGTGAGCGCTCAATTAAGGAGAAATACATACAACTGTACACCCATACATACATACACCTCATACACATACATACAGCTACGTAGATATAAGCTTCTGACTCTTATCCTATCCTTTGATAACATTAGATTGATCAATTAATCCGTGTTTGTCCATTTTTTAGGTAACAGTCACTGGCTCTGGAGGCACGTCTAAGCTTGAAATAACATTCAGCATGGACTCAGAACGCGAGATAGCGCATTTAGCGACACAATATGCCGGTACCGAAATTAACATGATACAGGACTACAAAGGGGTAAATAAGTTCGTTTCCTTTTGTTTGCTCAATTGTTTTTCGGAAATTGTGGAATCATCCTCGCCAGTTATTGAGAATCAAACCAAATATTCATTTTATTTTAGTTTTTGCTTTTGTTTGTTTGATTCTTGTTTATTTGTATTTATTTTTTGTTTACTCTTTCTATTGTTTTGTTTGTCTTGTATTTGCAGGTGTGCTTCGAATATATGTTTGATTGACATAACCAGCTCTTACCAGAAAAACTAGTTTTACCCAAAGGCACCCGACCATTAGCAAATGAATGAGGTGCTATATAATGATATGGGCATTTTCTCCACAGGGAAAGACATACACGATTTACCCACAGGGATGTTATTCTTCACCGCTCGAGGGTGAATTGTTTCCCCCTGAGCAACTCAAGGGCTTACTGTTCGAAAGAGGTGGAAAACTTGGACTGAATGGCGTCAAGGTTAATGTGTATGGAGGAATGATAGATCAAGGCAAGTGATGTACTTCTTTTGCAAATATTTCGGCGCACGATCTAGAACCTACATTATTTCCTCATAACTGAAAAATGAATTTCCTCATAAGACTATTCTTTTCTGAAATGGACTCCTTTTCTTTTTGGTCGCAAAGAAATTTATTTTGAATTCAGTTAAATTGACCTGAAGAAAACAAACAATAGAGACGATGGAAAAAGCGGGAAAAAGGAAAAAATGAAGGCAAAAAGTGAAGTCTCGGAAAAATACAAGAGCGGCTAACGTTAGCCGGATCGACATCCTCTATCGTTGTACGTCGAGAATATTAATGTGTGCAATCGTGCGTAGTAAAAGGAGTAGACTCTTAACTAAACCTCAACGACAATGATGGAAATGACAGATCGTGAAAACGTGTTATGAATTTGTAAATAGATCGAATTTTTCATCGGTCGGTAAGGCACCAAAACAGAAAGATAAAAATTAGATGAAGTACTTCAAGTAATGGATGATGATTTTGATTGTGGATGTTTCAACCTCCAGCCCACTGGATTTTTACTTTCGAGAATAGCGAAGTGTGCATACCAGTCAGCTTTGGTTCAACGGAATCGGGATCTGCCACCTCTGGAAGGTATTCAATAGACTGTAATTTTGTAAAGCACATTCTGATTGAGTTTTGCAACCAAAAGCCAGTATAATCACAACTAATCGGAGCGAAAAAAAAAATCAAAATTAAGCCCCGGAGAGCTATGAGCAAAAACAAGCTAAGTCGTAGCTCATGAAAATTTTGGCGACCAAGTCTTCATCTAATCCAGTTTTCACCCAATTGATTGAGAGGATGGCGCAAGTTCGCTAAACCCAATATTGAGCCAAATTATTTCACTTTGTCGTTTGGCTTTCGCTTCGCATGATATTTTTCTCACCAAATCATCTTTTATTTTCCTTGTTTGAGCGGCGGATCGCCACAGAAAAAGCAGCTCAGTAGTTTGCGTAGTTTGCGTACTCATTTGAGGCGCAAGTGGGTAATATGCCAGAAGGGTCCATTTTTCTGATTTCCTTCTGCGACTTACAAAAATCTCTGCACAAGTTCCCTTTATGCCAATGAAGTTCACTTGTGTACTTCCCAGTCTCTTATCAGTCTCTCTAGCTTGCCTGCAAACCTATGGCATTTATAGCATCAACAACAACAACGAACACAAAAATTACCAGAGACAAAAAAAAAAATGTGAACAACCTGCTCTGCAGGCTCGCACATGCCATGTCGCACTTTTTGTTGTCATTTTTGTTGTTGTTGTTATCATTGTTTTTGGTTGTTCTAACATAGTTGGATAGGTAGTGGTATTTAATTAACACAACTCAGAGAGGTTTTGTGAAATCCAATATGTTAGATGCTGCCGTAAATCGTGCGAATCGACTTCTGATAGTCCGAACTGAATAAAGTCACCTATAATAAAAATTACCAGATCAATGCAGTTTCAATCTCAAACTTTCTGTATTAACAGTGTGGCTTATTGTATTGTTTGTATTGTTTGTATTAAGCTTTTTGGATTTGAGCGAAAGCGTCGATCCTGAAAAGCTTCAGATCCCAGAAGATTGTAATGCTTCGCCGCAGCGTAGATCCCTTCCAGACCTGCTACATCCAAACAATATTCATACCGCGAGCGTACAAGCCGCTATGAAAAGAGGATTCGCCTGGCTCGGCACTCAAAGGGACCAGAAAAGAGGATTCCCTTGGACTCATTTTCAGAGGAGGGGATTCCCTTGGACTAACTAACCGGCAGCTTGCTGACAAAGAGTCATTATCTTGACCCGTCAAAGGATAACAGAGAACGGACAGTCCAACCTTTGCTCAGTCGAATTACTTTTGAATAAATAGATGAATGTAGTTACCTCTTGAAAATGAAATTAAAGTTGATTTGTTAATCATTACTTGAGCAAGTGTAATTATAGCTAATTATTCGCTTGTTAACGGTATAATAATGATCTCTCTTTCACCAGCATGACGCTGAGAAAAAGCAATGCGAATTGCCTTCTGATGAGAAAGTTAAGTGTTGCAAAATCTTTCGTGCGAGTCTGGAGGCCACACCGTGTTCTATTGTTTTTGCTTCGTTTATTATTTCACCTTTGTGAGCATTTTTTTCCCATGGAAAAAATTTTGCCTGCAGTGGAAGAAGTTAAAAAACATGAAAAGTTGACCATCTTCTTGAAGGTGGGAAAACAAAAATAGCAATTTAACGGCTCACGTTATAGTTGACAGAAATATTATGGCTAACGGTTTGATTTCTTTTCGTTACAGTTAACAGAAATGTTAGAAACTAACTTCAGTAATTGTGAAAAATTAATGATTGATTTTCATTATTCTTAACCACATTAGCTCGCTCGCTTTTACCATTGGAGCCAAGCAGTAGTGTAATTTTCTGTTTCCCTGCAATAGCCATAGGAAAAGAAGCAACAGTCTAAGATTTTGACGCTTTCAAAATCACACGTCGTATATAGGAAAAATTTTATGGTTAACTCAATATTTTTACGACTAATGGTTAAAATTTGTCCATTCTTGCGCCTAGCAGCTAAATTTTTTAGCCATCTTACAATTAACGGCTAACTCCTTTGACGCCTAATTTAAAAGTTTGTAAACTTCTCGGACAATTGCATGTCAAAGCTGAATAATTCCTGAATAAATGACTCTTGAATGAATGGTACCGTATAAGAAATGGGGCGAGGTGGGTAAATGGAAGAGTTTTCCAAAGGTATTAGTTCCTTCACTATCATCAAACTAAAGCAGTTACTACTCGTTTGATAAAATATTGTCTAATGTGCATGTTTGGTTGTTTACAATAAATACCGAATAATAAACCGTTTAATTGTTTGTCTCATGATGTAGATCGCGATGTTTCAACTGCTTACTGCTAGTCTTCATCAGGCGATGGGGTCGACTTCTCACGCGTTACCATTTGTTGTATCACGGCGATCTAATGCTATCGACAGATTTCGATCCCCATTATTCCGGTAGTTGTTCCCTCGGCGGTTTGCTGTCATACCGGTCTCCCGATGTGTTCCTTGATCATTGGTATCCACGCTTCAGGAATTTCGCTTCAGGAATCTCGCCATGATACAGATGGTAACACGTGAGCAGTCAACCCCATCGCCTGATGAAGACAAGCAATAAGCAGTCGAAACGTCGCGACCTACATCTATTAAACGGTTTATTATTACTTACCACCACAATCAACAATAACCTCTTTTATGATATTAAATACCCTTTCGGGAACCCGTGACGTCATACAAGATTTTGAATATTTTTAAGATAATTTTTTTGCGGAAAATATACTTTCTGGTCTTCAAAACTGCATCCAAAACTGAGCCACAATTATTTAGAATTCTAATGAAAGCCTTGATAAACCTCATACTTGATAAGTTTCGACACCAAATATCACTCGTCCTCTAAAATATTCAGAACCTCTTGTTTTTCCCAAATCTTCAACGAAAATTACTAATATGTGAATAGACAGCAGCTCAGTTTAAGATGTAAGCGGCTGAAAATCGCTGTTGCGAAGCGCACTGTTTCAGGTGCGTCGAACAATGCTTCCGCAATGAGTCTTCAAGATGACGTCTTTAAAACAGCAAATACAAATATATAAAAGACACAGCAAACAATACTTACTTTAGAATGATTTGCACAGCGAAAAAATCACGCGAGAAGCCAAATCCTACCTCCTTGCAATGACTAATTTCATAAAAGCTTTGGCCTAAAGGCTTTCAGTTTTTTTCTATTCTCTTTAATCATTTTGGGGATATTTTTTCCTGGAAAAATCGGTTGTAATTTGCCACTTTAACTGAACAACTCAACATTAGTTTTTTTTTTCAAAGCTTTGAGCAGCTGTACGCTCGCTTTTATTTTGTTTTTTTCTCTGCCAAAATGGGGTGTAATTTCATCTCTTTAGTTAAGCAATTATCCCCTTGTGCACCACTTAAGGCGTTTTAAAATTAGTTGGACTTTGAACGGCTGTTTAAACATTTGGTTCGATAAAAAAGGTGAAACAGACCCTAAGCAATTACAGAGGCTCTACAGGGCAGTTGAGCGATACAGCGTCATTTGATGATGAAGACTTATTTTCTCGTTTTTTTTCTTCTCTTTTGCTTTGCCAGCGCCAAAACAAAGCCGGCAAAGAGAGAGTTGAAATGCGGTACTGGTAAGAAAAAAAGGTCTTACTTTTTTTGTTTTTTCTAATTTCAAACCTTCAAATGCTAATAGTTTACAGTTCCTTTTTCAAAACCATAAATAAAGATGAAATTACATAACGATAACTATATTTAAGCGAGCTTATCCAGCCTATAACTTTATTTAAACCAAATCTAAAACACGTTTTAAACCTTTTTTGTCAAACATGGTATAAAAAAGTTTTCTAGATAGAGGTTGCTTCAACTGATGTTTGTCTACTTCAAATCTAGCACAATGAAAGTAAAAGTTAGTTATAACTTGAATACTAAATAAAATTTAGTCTCAGTTACACTTGGTTCAACTAAACGTGTTTTGCTGGTGTGAATGGGGCATAAGATTATTAAAGAATTTCAACCTTTTTTTTCTTACCTATCTTTCATTCAACGTATTTTTCTTGCTATTGCTATCAACAGACTTTCCAAAGAAATTGTCTGGAAGACTCTATATGGTAAGTATAATCGCTCGAAAGTGGTAACTCTCTTTACTTGCCAAATGTTTGATCAAGAAATAAATAGATAAATAAGTTTGATTACTCCAATTATGCTGTTTGAGTGTACATATCTTCAACAGGACGAAGAGACGTCGCATGGGAGTTCACGCGACACAATCAGCGACATTGGATTGAATTGGCTTTTTTCTAGATCTCCAAAATGAGGAGTATCTAAAACTTTGAGAAAAATCGCCTCGTGGACGACGCTATGTCAAGAAATCACTCTTTCCGCCTAGCTGGGGCGAGATACTCTCCTAAGGTGTAGACTCGCTTGTTCTTAAAGCTTTAAGATTCAGAATTGTTGAAAGTTTTCTTTCTATTTGGTGAACGAAGTGGCAAAGATGCTAAAACGCAAGATATTGCATGGGATACTCACCTGAGACAATTCGCGATATTGGATTGGCTATTTTTTAAATCTCCAAAACGAGATCTAAAACTTTAAGAAACCACTAGGCTGTGTCGAGAAATCACTCTTTTCCTTTCAGCTGGGGCGAAATTCTCGCATATATTAGGAGTAAGCTCATTTGCTCCAGATTCAGGATCGTTTGCAAGCTTACCTACTAGGAGGTGCACGAGTAGCAGAAATTTGAAATCTAAGGTCGGTAGTCTAATAATTAAAAGAGTTCAAGTTATTGTCTCGACCCTAGAAGAGTGGTTTTTGGTAAGTGGGCCCAGGTTCAACCCCTCTACTATGCTACTCACTGGATTTGTTCTTGGTTGCCCCGAGTTCAACTCCTTGGCTGTACTGTGTAGAAAGCCAAATGGTGTGCCTCCAGCCAGTTTGGATCTTAAAAACACTATGTTTAATCGCAATATTTGTTCCAATTTGTTCGTAATGGCTGCAAAGCCTCGTTGGGGGAAAGTCAATTTATTATACTTGCATACAAATACATCCAAAATACATACTCATTCTATCTTGCGATAATATTATTTTTGATGCTATTAAATTAATCTGTGTTTGCCTCTTCTCTAGGTGAACGTGACTGAGTCGGGAGGCACATCTAAGTGGGAAATGACTTACAACATGGACTCAGAGCTTGAGAAGATGCAGACATTGACAACATTTAATGGCGTGGAATATAACACGATATGGGACTTTAAAATGGTAAATTAATTTCGGTTTTTTTATTTGCTTAATTGTTTGTTGGGAAAATGCGGAATTCTCACAATTCATTAAGAATCAAACCAAAATATATATTTTTTCCTTTTGTTTGTTTGTTTATTTGTTTGTTTTTGTTTGTATTCTACCCATCCGCAAATAAATAAAGTGCCGCTAAAAAAGATTTGGACATTTTGATTCACAGGGCAAGGCGTACACGGTATACTCTGGGAGATGTTTTGTTTCACCGATTGAAGATGATGATGTATTCAACTCGGAGGAACTCAAGAGCTTGACTTTCGACACTAAAGGAAAGCTTGGAATGAAAGGCACCATGGTTGGAGTGTATGGAGGAATAGTAGTCGGAGGCAAGTGAAGTACTTGACTGTAAATATTTTGCCATGAGACCTGGAACCTACACTCTCGAATTTCCTCATAAAACTATCTCTCCCTTAAAAAGGACTCTCTTCTATTCGGTGACAAATAAATATTTTTCAATTCAGTACACTTGACCGGTGGACAATATCTACCGTTGTGAGTCGAATGTCTGCAACCGTGACCAGCAGTAAGAGAAAAATTTAAACAAATCTTTACGATTGTCGGACGTACCGTTTTGTAATTACATTGACTTGCCTCTTTTTTCATTGGTTGTGGGGGACTGTAAGACAGAAATATAAATTTGATGGTTAATGATTTCGATTGTGGATGTTTCAACCTGCAGTTCATTTGACTATAACTTTTGAGTCCGGCGACCTATGCATACCAGTCAGTTTTGATTCAAAGGAATCGGGATCTGCCACCTTTGGAAGGTATTTAATAGACTATAATAATGTAAAGCACATTTAAATGAGTTTCGTAACTCAAAACCATCATAATGATGACAGTCAATCAGGGAGAAGGAAAATATCAAAGAAGCAACCGAAAACTGAAAGGAAAACACAAGCTAAGTAACAGAAGCGAATGAAAATGCGCGTGACCAAGTCACGATATCGATTTTAACTCTGCGTTCAATTGGTTAAGAGGATGGTTCAAGTTTGCCAAACCCCATATAGAGCAAAGTTATTTGACTCTCCCGTTTAACTGCTTGCTTCTCATAATATTTATTCCCATAACATCTTTTATTTGAGCGGAAGATCGCCAAAAAAACAGCAGCTCAAAAGTAGGAGTTTCGTAAACATACACGTTTTTTAGACGCGATTAGAAAGTGGACAGTTTTGAGTTATTTTCCTAAGGCTCCCTAGCTGTGGCAAAGTCCATTCTACTAATTTCCGTCTGCGAATTATAAACGTCTCCATACAAGTTCCGTTGGCCCGATGAAGTTTATTTAAACAAACCTTTACGATTGTCTAACGGACCCCAGTCTCCAAGCTTGCCCACAAACCTTTGGAACGTTTTTTAAACCTCACTCCCTTAATCGTGTGAAATTGACTCGTCAAAGTCCGAACTGAATGAAGCCCGTTTGAAAGAATATTAGATCAATGCAGTTTCGATCTCTAACTTCCTATTTTAGCAGCGAAGCTTATTCATAACTGTTTCTTTGCATTTAGGTTTTTCGACTTAAAGACCAGTTCGGATCCTAAAAAGTTTAAGATACCAGAACATTGTAGTGAATCGTCGCCGATGCAGCACAGATCCCCTCCAGATATGATTCATCCATACAGAATTCATACCGCGAACCTTCAGGCAGCTATAAAGAGGGGATTCGCCTGGCTCCTTCCTAAACGCGATCAGAAAATGGGATTTTCATGGAGTCATCTGCAAAGGAAGGGATACCCCTGAACTAACATGCATGTGGCTGACAAAGAGTGATTCTCTTGCCCCGTCAAAGGATAACATACTGAGAATGGACCGTCCTATCCTTAGTCAGTCGAATTTCCTTTTAATATTTGAATCAATGCAATCAAGAATGTAGTTGTTTTTTTGTGAAAATGATATTAAAGTTGATTTGTTTATCATCGCCCAAAAAATTGTATTATTCTTTAACAGTTATGATAATGATCTCTCTCTCACTCGAATTACCTTTTGAAGACAATATGAGAAAGCGAAATGCATTTTAAAAAGTGTTGTTTGATCGTATCTGCGAAACCGATGGCAGCTCCATGTTTTAAAGTGGGCGAAATAAGATTCTTCTAAATTATATTTTTGTATTGCATTATATTGTTTCTATTATCATTCCACTTTGGCGAGCATTTTTCCATCAGAAAATCCTCTTATAGTGGAGGAAGTGCACAAAATCAGTGAAATGAACACAAAGTACACCATCATCTTGAAGGTGGGAAACAAAAATCAAAACTATAAAACATAAAAAAAAAAGACACAACAGAACGGATGCAAAATTTAAATTATTTTGGGATAAAATATTTGAAATTAATGCAAACTAAGGCACTAACTATTGGGCAACTGCGCGTCCCACAGAGTCTAACGAAAGCCTTTATGAAATATAATATATTCACCTAGTAGTAAAACTCATACTTGATAAATTTCAGCAGCATATGTCAGTTGTCGTTACAAACATCCAGGATCTCTTACTTCTACCAAATTTTTAACTAACATGACTCATATGAGGATAGAAAGCCGCTCAGTTTGATCGAGCTGTACGCGGTTGAAAACTCGTTACCCATCGAGAAATGCACTATGACCTCGACAAAGCAGCATATGGGCAAATCAAACACAAAGAGGCCAAAGAAAACAACACTTAGTTACAACGAATCCTCAAATTGTTCCTCTAAATGGTCAAATGACAACCGCTGCTCACTCATTTACATTAACATAGACTCAGGCGAAATATTCGGTGGCAGACTTGAAAAGATCGGTTTCTCTGCGAAAATTTGAGAAACTCTAAAGGGCTGCTAATTTCTTTCCATATAATTTCTGAAGATAGAGTCACTGATTGAGTGAAAAATCAAGAAGTACACTAACATCATGGTTATGTCTTTTATAAAATTAGTTTGATGTGTCTGGTTTTCATTGTCGACACTAGCGGTTTAGCGACAAAGCGTTTATTACAGAACGAATGTGCTAAGTGACCTAAAGCTCTTAAGCCCTATTGTTTGAGTTTCCCGCTGCAAAATCAGCTGGAATGAGACTCGATTTCTCACAAAAGTCCCACGGTTGTGACAAACATGCTTCACCCTCACTATTCTTCGTAACCATAAAGGTATATCCTTTCTCGAATAGGCTTCTTAAAGGCCGAAAATGCATGTGCAAAACCTATTGGATCTTCAATAACTGTTTATCAACCGAGCATCTTGAAACCATTCACTTACTGATGATCCACCAATGACCGACCTTCCCACTAAACCCGGTATTTTCCCTTGCAGACCGGCAAATGCTCTCGGCCACATATCCTCTCGGACATGATATCGATCTATTCTTGAACTTCGTCTGTGCTTTCCTAAAGGATAATTTCGTCCCTGATGTTTCCTTCAAAGTTTTTTTCTTCTAAGAACAAATGGTCACAATCTTTAGGAAAAATGCATCCTCGACAAATTTATCAGCGTAGAGACCGTTCAAAAGAGAGTTAATTTTTGTCCCCACGTCACCTTTTGATCCTCTTGTTGTTCCTGGCAAAATATTTGCTGTGTGGCGAATAAAATCTTCTTAGCTGGAAGTACTAACTTTGCATCTTTTAGCTTCAGTAAATGAAGGTATTCGTTGTGAAGCGTACCCAAGTTTTCTTTCCAGTTTTCTACAGTATGATTCTCCATAAACTGGTTCATTCCAATCGAAGGCCCCATGATTACTTGTAGATTTTGGTGTTAAGCTATGCTTTCTGACCCAGAAGTGGCGAAATCTTCGAAATTTTGATATGAATTCGTCATCTCTAACGTTTAGAAGTACCTACAGTTTTTTATTTTTTTCAAGTTAAATGCTCCTGCAGAAAATGACGTCTACGAAAGCATTGGAAATGTGAAGCTAGGCCTGATCGGATAGCTTATACCGTAATCTTTAGAATAATGGCGTAAAATTTATTGTACCATTTATGAATATCGGTGACTCTATCTTTGCGAGTGAAACTACTCTCTACTCACCAGGAAATTCGGTCGGCCAAATTTCAGCATACCTACCCTCCCTCCACACCTATATGCTATATAAATGTCTGTCAGCAAAATTCATTGAACCACAGTAGATTTTTCTGATATCCCCCACAGGTAAAGAATTCTTTGATTTCATTTATTTATTCACTGTTGTTATCCTGATCACCCTTGATTGTTCAAATAACCAAAAAATGGATCTGAAGACGAAATGAAAATGTCGTCTGCGACGTCATTGAGAAAACTACAATCAAGAGCACGGCTCGAAAGAAAATTGTAAATCTTTTGACAAGGAAATACTCTGCAAAACATTTCTATTTCAAAATACATAATCACGAAAAAATTTTCGTGCAATCCCAATCAGTCCCTCCAAATACCTTCAATAAAAGAACCTTGTCTTGCGCCTAAGAACGCAGTATTTTTCCCACCTAAGATTGCTCATAGCCTCTTGGGAATTTCTTATCCGTATATAACCGTATATATCGGCTGGTTTGTGCGAATGCTTCGGTCACCATAGAGCTGCGTAAGAGCAAAATGTGCATTCATTCAGCGTAACCACCGCCTTTGTAATATCTCAAAGTCGATGCGAGAAAATGAAACGCTAGTGCGGCGTTTTGTTCGTAAGGTACGAGAAAAAAAGTTTCCTAGTAGGAAATGATATATCACTGTGGGCACTACCTGTGGACACAATCGAAAAGCTTCTCCTTCCTTCTTTTCTGAATTATCTCCGCTTAAAAAAATTAACTAATATGTTTTACTTTGAGAGCCGAAAGCCAACATCCCACGCAATAAAGATAAAAAACGTTCCCTCGAACAGAACATGTCCAAAGGTTAATATTCGAAGACGCCTTTTACGGCCCCACGGAGACCAGCGTTTGATAAACTTCACACAAGCAGTTATGCCTCTTTATAAATCGAGCATACTACCTCAGAAAAGCTGCACAGTATCCTTGTTAAAACTTTTTTTGTATAATAATGAAAAAAAACAGATGTATTTGAGAACACCCGCAGTTTTTGTCAAATGCTACTTAATTTACCGAGATGTGAAGATATTAAGAGCACACCTCGATAACTTGTTATCAGAAACAAATTGTTGAACTAACTACCAGCAAGAGAGAGAATGAACTTTCGCAATGGGTAGAAAACCAGCTTCGTTTTGCAATTCTTCAAAAGAGAAAGAAGTGTCTTTGTTAGTTAAAAGGATCAGCTATGCGTATTTGTAATTATCAGATGGACTGGCTTGAACGCTGGTACATTGAGGAACTGACGTTATACAATTTCCTCCCCAGCGGCTCAGTTGTTATGCAGTTTATTTCAATTACGAATTTTTCTCTGCACCTAAAAGTATAGATGGATATGACAAACTTCCAGGAAAATCAATATCCTATGCGGGGCAATGTGGGCAATACTCCATATTTTTTCATGCCGGAGAAATCTGGATCTTAAAAAGTTATGAAAGTAATTGACCAAGATTAGGCTCACGAACCTCTTTTGTTTGTAGTAATCGATCATACTCTCGAATTTCCTTGCGTGAGCAAAGCGTAAATCGTGTTATTAACAAAATAAAAAACTGTGGAACTGCTTATGTCTTAAAACAAGAAATACAGATGTTATTCTACTGAAAAAAAAACAACAACAGCAAAAAAAAAAAAAACAACAGAACAATGAAAGGACGAAAACTGGTGGCTTCAAAGCCTAACATATGGAACCATTATTTGCAACAACGTGACAAAGTCATCTCCTGATTGTAAAGAGACACTTGAATCTTTGCTTGAAAGTATTGTACCATTCTTGAATTTCGGCTTCTTCCAAAAAAAGTCTCAAAGTGCTTTACATTTAATGATATTCCTGGGATTCACATTTCTTAAAATGCAGTCCGCGGTAAACGAAAATGGACGACAAAACAAGTTCCCATTAGGCGCCAATCGAGTACGTTGTAGAATTTTTATAATAAACCCACATGGTGTATAAATTGGATCATTTTAGCTTTTATGGATCTCATCATGCGTCACAATTCACCCCCAGGTGGACCCAGGTGGTCATTTGTGTTTAAGTAAAGCGGACATGCGGATGTAATGACTCCAGTTTTCTAAAATGGCAAGCAAATTGGCCCATCCTAAAGCAACCGAGGAAATTTTCCCGACAAATTACAATCCCTGGTGCCTTATTTCCTCTGCTCAGAATTTGAACGAAAGCTCAGTCTCAGAAAACAGAGGAGCAAAGATACACATTTCAAATCATCATGTTTCACTCATTTGGGTAAACGCAGCTTTTATGAAATGTGGCCGCCTACATCCGAAGACTAACTTGTCATCAGTCGCTTCATTTGATTTTAACTGTCAAGCTGTAAAACATTCTGAGACAAAGCTTTGATTAAAGATCGTTTCTATTTAGAGTATACAGCTACGATGTACATGTATGGATAATTAGCATTTTCTTTAAATTGAAAAACTTGTTCACCTACTCCCAGGCAAATATATTCGCATCACTACTTATGAAACACGTTACCAAGCCTTGTCCTAATTTTTCTTCCATTTCTTTCTCTTTCTTTTCAGTAAGAAACTTTGGATTATTACGCTCATTAAACAATATAATCCATTAGAAAGTCTCCTATAACATGCACGTCGATCGCTATTAAAAGGTATTTAAATACCTATTACAAAAGGTTTTTGAAAAAACCGCTCAATCACTTTGTTTGCGCCGGGAAAACACCTTTCACTTGTAATTGAACTTTAATCCTGCCGTTCTACTTAAAAGGGGCGGTAAGCATAAAGATTCTGGACAACATATAAGAGTTGGCTTTGAAACAAGAGTGCAATTGAAAAGAACGATGAAAGCAAAATATTTTGTTCTCTTCTTGTTTATCGCGGGCCTACTTTTAACTGTGGTGTCCTTGTCTCAAGTTAACCCGCAAGCTCCCATGGGTAGGAAGAGGAGGGTACTCCAGGTCAGTATAAACAAATAATGATCTAGTTTGTTCGAGAGATTCTAAACATGACCGGCTTTCCCACTCAGTTCTTAAAATCATATAATGACGAGGCTTACCAAAAGAAAAGTCCAGAAACCAAGACAGCAGCTACACCCCTGGAAGGGGCAACTAGTATTGGCCGGTTTCTGAGCAAAAGTTTGGCGCGAAAGTTTTGCGACGATTTTCGTACCCAAATCTCTGGGAATTCGTACTTGGCTTTAGAACAAGGCTAGGCAAAGAGAAAAACAAAACAAGAGAATTAACGAGCAACAACAACAACAAAAAAGTAAAACAAAACATAACCAAAAAAACCACCTTCTTTGCCGGTTTGATATTCCTAAATAATTTTATCAAAAACCCTTCTTACCCCTTTCTTTTTTCATATAACACAAATTTGTGATTGTAAAGCGCCATGAGCAACAATTTTTAAAGTGAGATTAAAATTGATATCTTGGTTTATAAAACTTACACGAGGATATATAAGGTGCAAAATCTGTAACTGCAAATGACTGTAAAACATATGAAATCTCAAAATAAAAATATAATCGTTTGTCTCACGATGTGGTCACTTCGGACGTAGATCGCGACGTTTCGACTGCATTTACCGCTAGTCTTCTTCATCCCTTGAGGAGGAAGACTAGCAATATGCATTCGAAACGTCGTGAACACTTCCGAAGTGACCACATCGTAAGGCAAACCATTATATTTCTCTTTTGAAGTGCTATTTACCACAATGAATAAGTACAACTTATTTTACGAGATGACATTTCCTTTTAAATATAAATCATTGTTATCTGCACCGCAGATCAAGCAAGATATGTGCCGTGCAGTGAGGAATCTTCGTTGCGATGTGTTGGAAGACGAGGAGGATATAAACAGGAGGCTTGACTACTTAGCCATATAGCAGTCGTTTAAAGAACACTAAAACTGGCGTAAAATCAGAGTGTTTTTTTGTTCTTTTTTGAGTGTCACTCAAAAAAAAAACTAAATACGAAATGTGTCACGATATGTTACAAAAATGCCAATATTTAAGCTAAGGGGCTCAAAATTGAAGTTATACGAAGGTGAAAATAAGATATGTTTTTGATTACCAATTGGGGTACTTGAAATAAAGAATTGTAAAAGAAATTACTGTTTCGTTGTTATCTCTTTGCCAAGTTTCGTCAACAACTTCTGGCCACGAATTACAAAATGTATTTATAACTTCATGTTTTATATTTTGCTCTTAAAACATCATTAAATATTTTTATAAGTCATCATTATCATCTGTCCTTTCAGCGCTAAATGACGCATGAGGCCTTTGTCATGAAACTACTATAAATTTACAATTTGTTAACGTTTGGTACGTTGATGTCTCCTGGGTGATATCTGTGTGCCACAAATAGAGTAACAAACATGAAGAATTTTGAGTTCGTCAAAAATTAAAGAAAAGGAAAAAGAGGACAATTTGAGTTTTTATGAAGAGTCGAGCCTCAGACTTTTGGATTCCGCGCAACGATGCTCTACCACTGACCAGAGAGAACTCTGTGGTCTGTAAGACCACCAATATTTTTTCTTCGTCCCACGCACTTTTTTCGTTCATTACGTTGCTCACGGACCATCTTTCCTGCTCTCAATGACATGACACTCTCGACACGGCTGATCCTTACATTATATAGGACGTAGGCTTCATATGAACCTAGAGTTGTTCTAGAAAGTGTTCGCTTTGGAATGTTTAGGCTCTTTTTTATAGTCTCATAAAGATATGCTAACCGCATATGTATGACGGATAAAAAGTCTAGTTCCGCATTTCATAAGCGGTGATAATATGGTCAAAACGCTGAAATCTTAAGATGTTGCCGATTTCAGTCAGCTTTTCGATTTTGCCGACAGAGTCGCGTTACTAGTTACTTAAAAAGGACGGCTACTATAAAGGATTTTGTACAGGGAGGAGAATATCTTCCCCTGAACTGTTAAAAAAAAAAAAAAAAAAAAACCGCAATAATTGCCACTGGTAAACATTTAATCAAATTTCTTACTCTTGCAAGCTTATATTTCGCTAACATGGATGCAGAGACGATGAAGCATTTTGAAACGTGCAGTAAATCATCGTGCACCGGGCCAAGGTTGCATTCCTACTTCAATTCATTTATCTGCGGTACTTAGACAGGCTGGCACATGCCCAGTTCAGCTTTAAAGCTAATTGAAATGGGGCCTGTGTAAACATTAACAAGGCCAGACCACAACACCTCACAGGAGCTACAGGTACATTGCCTGCTCTTTATAGTAGTTTCATGACAAAGGCCTCATGCGCGTCATTTAGCGCTAAAAGGACAGATGATAATAATGATTTATAAAAATACTTAATGATGTTTTAAGAGGAAAATAGAACACATGGAGTTATAAATATATTTTTTAATTCATGGCCAAAAGTTGTTCACGAAACTTGGTAAGGAATGATGAAAATGAAACAATTGGTAATTCAACGAATCTTATTTTCATCTTCCTTCAACTTCAATTTTGAACACCCTAGCTTAAATTTTGGAGTTTTTGTAAGATATCGTGACTCATTTCGTATAAAAGTCTGTTTTTTCTAAGTGATAATAGCGAGGAGTGCTTGGGTTCCTTAACGTCATAAAAACAATCAGAGCACCGATTAATTTTCTAGGCGCAGTTACTGCCTTTGATTTTTATGCTGCTCGATACAGATGTCAAGTTCAAAACATTTTAAAGACGTCAATTGTCGCTCCTTGATTTCGTTTTGGTTTTGACAAAAACACCAATTGAGAGTTTTGACTGATTTGTTACTTCCTTTTTCAATTTCATAACCGGAATACAATAAACTATTAATGGGCGTATGGTTCGAAGAAAAGGGTCTTCAAACAGATGCTAAGAATGTCAGTAACAGAACGGCCTCCAGTTAAGTGAAATAAGTCAGTTCTTGCTTTGTTTGCGGCATGCATGCGTACCTGCACACGTAGAACCTGATGCACTTAAATCTTTTGGGAAATACATGCTCTGATTGTTGACCCGTTGATCATAACCCTGAACCGTAGACTGCTGTACGTGTCCCGTAACACGGTGAATGCGCATATTTTATTCCAAAGATAACCAGTTTCGTTTTGGATCAGTTAGCATACTACTGAGACTTATTGTTTGATTAACATGGTAAGGATGACTCACTCATAGTGCGGTTACATGATACTCTTGCCTTGTTAAAATATGACACGATATAAGCGCTGTAATGAAGCGGTTATTTTTTGCACAAAGTTAACATTGGAGTCCAGTTGCGATGAAAAAGTAATCAGCACATTACGCCTGTGTAAACACACAAAAAAAATGCAATACCGTTTATTGAAATTGAACTTAGGCAACAAAGGAGACATACAACTCTGTTTTGACAATTTGAATTTAGTTTTAAAAATCCAAAATGTGTTATTCAGCTTCCTTCGGCGGTATCTCAGTGGTTTCTGTGACAAAACTATCGTCGTGGAGCCTAAAGTCAAATCCGTTGTTTGAAAAACCGTCTCTCCTTAGAGATATGTCTGGTTCGTTGTTTTTCTCGTCCAACCTGAAGGTTTTTCCGCCCCCAACTCCATTAGCCTCGACGTTCTGCTTCATTACATTTAGCTGGCATTTATTGTCTTTCTCTTTATGGTTGACACAGATATCGAGTCTTAGTTCTTTCGTAAATCTAAAAGCTTGTCTTGCAGCCTTCCTGAATTCCTTGCTCATGAATGACGAAACTATAGGATTTAACAGAGAATGAGAAAACGCTAACATACCCACGCAAAAAGAGAAAATGCCAAATGGGTCATAAAGCTTCATCACCGGAGTAACGTGTAATAGTTCAGCAAATGTTAGAGGTGTTAAACAAACGACGAAAACAATGACCACGACAAGAAGCATGCGAATGATGCTTCGTCTCATCTTGACAGCACTGCAAATGTCGAAACGGGATCTTTGACGAAATCTCTCCACCATATCGTATAGCTTCTTTGAACTTTGTCCATACGTGAAAATCATTATCGCGACAGGTATTAAATACAAGAAGATAAACAATGTTACATGGTACGCTAGAAAAACTACCAAGTAATCTTCTGGCCGTCTCTCCATGCACACCGTTCGTCGGTAAGACCATTCGGTTGAGCTAATATAGACCTGCGGCAGAGCTAAGAGGCATGCCGCAACCCAAACACCGAGTATAAGCTTCCGATTGCAGACGTTGAAATCGAGACATTTTTTGAACCGCATGGGCTTACATATTGCGTAGTATCTTTCAATACTGACAATTGTCAGGCTTATGATCACCACGTTATAAAATGTATGAAGGAGAAATCTGTGAGTTTTACACCAGCCGTCTCCAGCGTCCCAGAAATTATTCTTGAAGGCAAGCGCCTCCAGCGGGGTTTGCAACGCAAATAGTAAGTCTGCCACAATCATGTTGCATAGCAAGTTGTTGGTAACATTTCGCAATTCTTTTACTCGACAGAATACGAATAAAATAGCGGTGTCCACAATTACAGCGACCACCAGGAGCGCCAAATAGAAAATGAATGCAAAGAGACGAACCCGCATTGGCAGTTCGTCTATAAACGTCTCTGTTGAGGAGACGTCTCCATTTGTTGTCGATGAACTTGTCAAAGTGTCGTTTCTCAAATCCATAGCTTTTTAGTTAAAATCAAAGGGGGCGTAAAATACTAATTAGTAAGTTCAACATCGACAAAATCAAAGAGTAAATATTTGTTATTTATAAGCTTGCCGATGAGCGAGTGTTTTTGAACGTAGTACTATCTTTTCTCCACAAGACTTACTCCATGACGTATGATAATCGTCGAATCCACCGGCAGAGAATAGTATAAAGTTCACTGATGAGCAGATAAGGTAAACTGACACTTTCAAACGCTGATTCAATGAACTCTCTGGGTTAAAAGAGTGTCTTTATGGCGAAATGAACGAAACAGGTCATCTGCCAGTGGTACTGATCCTACAGCTGGTAAAATTGCGAAGTCTGTTACTTTGGGTACCAAATGTGTGGCTTTTTCCGCAATGTGTTCTCAAAAAATGTCCCTTCGACACTGTCTAGTGTGTCTAGTACTCGTTGAAATAAATATTGAAGGTACTGATAAATTATTCATCATACATGATTCAGCATTGTTTGCTTGGTTGATCATATGTCAAATAATTTATTTAGAAAGGCAGATTACTCGGTTGCGTAACAGTATAAGGTAAGTGTGAACTTTAAACTCTATTTTGCCATGAAATGGCGATGCAGGATATTTATTCTCTTTCAGTGCGCGTTTTTGGACGTAATAAACAAACGAAAACAATTTTTTCTCTCTTTTTTTGTGCCAAGTGCATATATAAATAATTACCTCTTATCGCAAAATCAAAAACCCTAGTCAACCACAAGAATTCACTTCTTCGTATTCAAACGGTAGCGGTAAAAAAACAAAAACCAAAAGAAACAAAGAAGTAAAATTGACTCTGATATTTTGAGAAATTTTCAGAAACTCTAAGCATAAGAAAATGACAATTATTATTATTTCATTTAAATTAAACATGATATTATTGTTAGAGCTCCTTTAACAATTTAACAAAGATGTGAGATTAGTTATGTAATATCAGCCTTGTTTTGATTGGTGCAGGTAAGTGCTTCAGACACACCTAATGCGTCATTTGTTTGTTTTCATGTCAATACGCTTGTTTAAATATAACTTTTGTCGCACTGTATATTAAGCCTTTCGGAATCTATGGGTCAATTTTTACAAAGAATTAACGGTTCTACGTTTTTCTGGAAATTCTGACTTCTTCAAAGAGATCAGAAGTGAACAGTCGATTTTGTTTCGACAAAGTTAGACGTGAACATTGAACGCGCACTAGGATGAGGGTCAGACACATGGTTTTCTGAATTCTCGAGGGTTTTTGAGAATGAATCACCGAAGCAGAAAATATGACAACAAAGAATAAATCCACAACATCCTATTAACGGTTGTAACCTCTTCCGCACAGATCTGTGGAACGTCATCGGGTGATCACCTGAATGGTTATAATTTTTCCTTCGGTCATGAAACATTGTAGCAAGCAAATTTTGAAGCATTATCATTGCATTGATTCGTGGATTAGAATTTTCTTATTTTATTTAATTCAATTCAAAACATGTAGTTTATTTGCGTTACATCCTCATAAATTCAATCAACTTTTCCTCGATTAGATACAACACTTGTCAATCATCTGACGTCACCTCGCTACAAGTTAAATTAATACATTAATTGATTTTTCTCCCCCAGACTTGACCTTGGTTTAACCATAATTGAGTTTTTACACGTGCAAACTTTCACGGCGACGAGATTAATTGACTTACTGCGACCGTTAGTTCAACATTAAGAATCAATCATTTGCGGTTTCCTTAACAAGAAGTGGACAGTCAACACTCACTCTGATCCTCTTGGATGCAAGTCTAGTGATGATCTACTAAACTTCTTTTGACCCCCAAGCATTGTTTTGAGGTTGACAGTTTCAAGTAAATCACGTCACCGTTTCTTTTTATTTGAGTCATCTTTGTCACGTAGAAATAAAAAAGTAAGGGTCTTCGAGTAACAGGTGACCGAAAGAGAGTGAGCATGCATAAGAATGGAGATCGATTAAGAAAGATACATTGTTGATAAAAGAAGAACCTGAAAAATTATAAGAATAACAATATTAACAATACTAATAATATCTATGATAATACCGATGTTAATAATAATAATGTAAAAAAATGATAACCATGTTATTGATGAAAAAAGGATTATGATAAGAATAATGATAACACTAATAATTAAAAGTAATGGTAGTAGGACTGAGTGGATCCAATTCTGTCTGTAATCATACGAGTGTTAACAAAATCAGACGAACACGCAGCGGGAGTGCGATTTGTTCATCTCGAGTATGATTACAGACCGAATTGGACGACACGAAGTCTTATTACCAATAAATCATAAAATTACAATTTCCGAGAAAAGAAGAATAGCCAAGTTATGAAAGAAAGAAAGGAAAATTTTGCATTAAAAGACTTGACAAAGGAGGCTTAAATTGTTTAATTGATTAATTTAAACTACAACTTTGAATGTGATTGGCTAACGAGCTGTCCGATAACAACTTGGCTCGTAAATTAGTGAAAAAATAGGAGATTTATAAAGCAATCACAATCGAGGAAACTGTAATTTTTGTGATTATAATGGTAACAACTACAATAGTGTTAATGAATAATAACAATAGTAATAATGATTATAAGGGTAGTAATAATTAAAATTACAGTATTGATCATAATGGTCGTTACTATGTAACAATAATGATGGAAATAACAATGATAATGATAATGACACTTATCAGGAGCCCATTATTGGCTCCTGTACTAATCATAGTTTTCAACATATAATAGTTATATAATAAGACCGCCTCTTGACCTCGTAGAGTCTAGTTAATTTTATTTTACTGCGCATTGGGTTATTTGTACCTGGGTGGATATAAAATATGTCAATAAAGTTTTACGTTTTATTTAACAAATAATGATGAGTAATATTATATAAATAATAATAATCATAGTCATAATAATAATAACAATATGGAAAATGGGTATAGTAAGGTCAAAATTAATTTAGGCATCGATCCTGTCTCTTCTAGCTGAGAGACTGTACGTCGGGCTCAATGCAGACAAACGCAAAGAAGGGATGAAAAAAGAGAACACATTCGATGTGAACAATTTCGTAACCATTTTAAGGCGTTCATATTTGAATCGCGAGAAACCAGGAAACGAGAAAAAGTTTTCATTTCGGCTCCAACAAGTGTATTAACACACTAATCTAACTTGCATTGACATAATCATATGATTTGCCTATATCTACATAATTTACACACTTACACACATGATTAAGCTTCATTTCAAGGAAAGTGTGTATCTGTGTGACAGCTGCTCTTTTTATAGTTTAACTGAGGCTGTAACACACATATCATCCTCTACTGACAAACAATTCTTTCACATTATAATTGAGACATAAATGTGAACGCACCTCTATACTCTTTCATACACAGGACTGGCAAACGAAAATTAATATTGGGGAAGAAGGAATAAATTAAGGGTTGAAAAACAAGGGAGGGGAATTGTATTTTTTTTTCTGAAAGGGTGGTGTTGCTTAAGTCCCTGAAAAAATTCCAAACCTGGAGGCTTGAAAACATTGATCCCAAGTTCATTGCACCAAGTTAAATGGGTTCGGCATCCCAGCTTAAGTGTTTTATTTACTTTTTTTCTTTTGCAAAATCTCGCCCACTAGTTTTATTTAGGTCACCTACAAAGTTTATAATTACTGCTGCTTTTTGCATAGAAATAATTTTTTAAATCGATGATTGCTTTTAAGACATATGTAAATAGCGCCACACAGATCCAATTCAGCCTTGTGTTCGCGCAAAATCAATAGTATATTATAGCAAATTACCTTAAAACTATTGAATTAAGAGATATCAATATACTAAGACAGTAAATTCTCGCCAAAAAGGCTATTTTATCACTATAACTAAAATCAGGAATAATTTTTTTTTCGATCATTCATCAATTAGAGCAACACTTTGCCTGTAGTTTTGTTTTTAGCGCTCACAAACTACTAGTAACTTCTTTCGGAGATAGAAGAGGACTTTCCTCAGTTGCTAAAATGATCGACATCTCCTCTAACGAGTAACAGAAAAAAAAAAATTTCTTTAACAATGGAAAAAACTGTCGTTTCAATTTAACCAGAACTTTGTTTGTGCCTAAGAGGGGTCTGTTGTGTGTTGCTTCTACGCATCAAAGGAAAAAGGATTCTCCTCCGCACCGGCTTAAGGCGCCATCGACAATTCATGCATTTGAAAACTTGCCCTGTGCACCCAAAGCAGTGATGAACCGACCCGTACACTAACGGATTAATCACATGGGTCACCAGCACAAGATTGACGCAGAGAGAGAAGAGCCAAGTGAACTTGGAAGTAAGAACTTCCCAGGAATCGTAAAAGAAAACACGGATGAAATGGAACACGTGAATTGGGAGGTGAAACAAAGCGAAGATCGCAATGATGGTGACCATTTTGCGAACGGCGCATCTACGCTTCTTCTCAACTGCTAAGCGTGCAGAAGGAAAATTTTCTCGGTCAATTGCGCTCAACTTTCTGATGATTTTTGCATAGAGAACACTAATAAGAAATAGCGGGATCAAATACAAAATGACCGCGTCAATTGGTTGAAGGAATATCTCTACATTTGAATGCGGCCATTCCAGACCGCAAATGTATTTGTCTTCATTTATATCAATATCTTCCTTTGGCCCAACATCATCTGGCGAGATATCCTGAGTTTCAAGATCTTCAAATGTATCAATTTTTATGGTCTTGAGGTAGATCAGTTGTGGTATGCAGAGAGAAATAGCAGCAACCCAAATAATGATAATGAGATACTTAACCGTTCTTTTCTTGATTGGGTCGGAGAATGTGATGAGGTACCTCTCCATAGCGATGGCTGTCAAAGTCGCCAACGAAGCATACATGGAAATGTGTGTCAGCGAGAAGACAGTTTTGCAAAGGAAGTTGCCGAAGGGCCAAACAAAATCAAATGCCTCGTATGCCATGTAGAATGGAACATATACTGCGAGCACCAGCAGATCAGCTACGGCTAAGTTGATAAGGAACGGCATCACAGGTGACAAGAATCCTCCACTTTTCCTCCAGACGAAAAATATGGCCGATACGTTGGCTGGGATGCCGAGAATGAGGAAAATCATGTTTATAATCATCTGGATGGAGAATGAGGAGCTGCTGTCATCTGCTGATTGCAGAGTTGGTTCTGTTTCCGATGAGACTGCCTCAAACGGTGTTGAATCCATGATTACTGCCTTTGCAAATGCTTCGTTTGTCCTGGCTCTACCACAAAGGAAACACTCCTTTGTAATTTTGATGTAAATTAATAATTTTTTTCTTAGAGTTAAAGTACAATGCTGTCTGAGAATACTATATTGAAAACGAAGCCAATATATATTGCAGGCACTTTTGGCATTACCCACTTATTCCTGTTAAGAAGAATTTAAAAAGTTATTTTTCATTTTTTTGTGATCAATTGGCCCTCAAGATCCTCTCGAGTGTAGACGTGGTCTTATTTTTGTTTTTCTCCTGCCAGACTAAATCGCGATTTTCCGATAGAATTTCGTTCATGGAAAACAATGGTCTGAAGAATATTCCCACAGTTAACGTAGCGCGGAAAAAAATGATCCTCCAGTCGGGTACTCGTTCAGATATGTTGGTAGTTTTAATGAGTTTTCTTTGCTGTCAGTTCAGTAGGTGTTACATGGAAGCTTGGTCAGTGAAAGTGAGGGCTTAACTCGGCCGAAAAAAAAAAAGCAAATAAAGTTTGTAAGCGTTTGTCAAATGCCCGAAAAAGAAAAATGTGAACCCCTGAGTGAAATTTTAACTCCACCTTGTTCTGCTCTAGGGGCCATTTTGCTCTACAAACTGAGCTTCAGAGGGCCGAGTCATTTACTAGCGATGTCAATTAACAAAAGATAGGAAAAAAGTTACATTTCGTTTACTTTACCTTTCCTTTTTCGGTTAAGTTGGCCCTTAACCAAGATAAACTTGTCCTTATTTGATCGGGTTGTTCGATTTACTTGAAATGCGCTTCAAGGAAGACTGGCAATATTACAGGCGATACGCATTTGTGATAGAGGTGTGTTTTGCAAAGAAAGTGTGAATTAATTTCTGTAAGTTTTAGGTGACAAAGAGATATTTCAAAGATAGGAAATGGTGATCAAACAATGATCAGGAATTAGGGAAGGATTAGGCTTCTAATTATAATCATTTACTACCAGGCAGAAGATGGCAGAGTGAAAGGTTTTAGTTGGATTCGATTCTTTTCATATTGCAGTCGAAACCATTTTAAAACGAAAATTATGCACATATTATGAATACTTCATGTGATTATCTGTAATTTTTATACTTTTTTTTTCTTAAAAACCAAATTAAATAAACAAGGTCTACAATGTGTCTGATAAACCTCCACATATTCATGTTCTTTTGGCAAGAAAATCATGATTAAATTATAATTTTCAAAAACGAAATTTTTATAAAAAGGCACAAACTAGAGAAAGTGTTCGCACAAAAAGGCTAGTAAGGACTTTTTTCGCCTCTTACACGCTACGTTGCATGTTCTTCGGTAAGTTAATGAAAAAAAAAAAAAAGGAGACGAAAACGTCTGCCTTTTGTCTTAGGTAATTTCTATTCAGATCACGTTCACTCCCACGTTTTTATTTCCAGCGCAGGTAAGTGGTAAATTCAAAGGCATGCTTGTATGTTGATAATCAAAGTGCATTAAAACATAATGGGGGTAAGCTTCTAAAGAAACTATGGTGTTACGTCGGTGAGGGGTAGAAAAAGATAATTTGGTTTTTATAAACTGAGTTGATCATACAAATTGGCAACAGTAAATAGTTTCTAATGATGACTTTTCGTGCGTCAACCTCCGTCATTCGCTCTGACGAAGGGCTAACGCTCGAAACATCAGCTTCATAAACTCTTTACGGTGGCCAATTTACTTTATCAACTCAGTTGATGAAAGCCAAATTGCATTGTGTTAAAACCAGACAGACGATGACGGAGGGAAAGGTTAACGAGGGATTTCACTCATTTTAATTAGGATTGCTACCTTACTCCGACGTCCATTCAAGACGAATTGGTGAATACTTCACATCTGATTAGTTGGCCATTGCTTTCTTAACTGAACAAACAAGGAAACAATAGGCGATAAATGTGTCTGACTTGCCGCCGTATATTTGCTCCATGTTGACAATATGCTATTGCAATGTTTTCAGAGGAGAATATTTTGGTGCTAAGTTTGGGAAATACATACCTAGAAACTAGAGGTACATGACGGATGCAGGTGCTTAAAAAGAATCTTTCCTGTTTTAAAAACGCAAATTTGCATCACCTATCAACCTGAATTGTATGATTTCCAACGAGCTTCAGTTGGACTTCAGAGAGAATTTAGGCTCCTCCATTTTGTTGGAGATGCTACTGTGATAACATCACTTTTATAAAGGGTCCTCACCATGCAGGCTTTGACACTTCTTTGTGTTTATTTGAAGAAATCCACTCAAAGGGCAGATGACACCATTCATTCTAGGTCTAAAGAAATCTAAATTACAGTTCTGGTTTATCCTACAGCGAGAAAAAATATAAAGTTGGTGCCAAGCCTTTGGCTAAATACTTCCCACCTAGCTCCCTCCACGCTTGAATATCTTTTTGAATATCACTTTGAAAATCTTCTCCCTCCACTCTTGAACATCTTTTTTTTCACATACAAACCAACATGTGAATATTTCTTTCCCTATCGCTTACATCTTTTTCGATGCTCTGTATGTCATAGTCGAATGATAAGATTTAAACTATTCTCATAATAATTATAAATTGTCCATTAGACTACTTTACTAAATAATTTCTTATTTTCAGTAAAATGGCACAGTACGTAAAGCTTATATGGTAGAATAGTCCGAAACTTATAATCATTAAAGTCTCTTGTTTCCTCATGAACAAGTTAGACATCTATTCCCCTTCTTGATTTCACCTCTTAAAATTAATGGAAACAAATTCATGTCATACGTGGTCGGAAGCAGTATTGAACAGCGTTTGTGTATTCTTCCGAAGGTCAAATAACAACAAATCCAGCTTTACATCATCACTGCAGGTGTAAACCCTCTTTTATTCGTTGAGACTGATTTTCACCAGCGACGGAGTCAAGTCATATTCGTAAGAGCGATTCCGACGTGGTGAAAACTGAAAATAGGAGTCGTAAGCAGAGTCATAAGCTCGACTGAATCGAAGTCATAAGAATCAGAACGGTCTGATTTTCATCTGATTCCGCTTGTGACTCCGACATTTTTGATCTTGTGAAATCTGGATCATCGGAGTCGCAAGTAGAAGCGGAAGGACCAGCCAATCGCAATGCCAGTTCTCAGGCCCTTCCAGTACAATCTTCCGCTTGCCAATCCGAGTCTTCAGTCTCCATAGCATCGAAAGCAGTATTCGATTCCGTCGGTTTGATTTTCACTAGATCGTTTCGCTCAGCACTCCTGATTACGACCCCGACTCCGTCGTAAGTAAAAACCAATTTTTAGAATATCGCAACGCGACGCTATCCAACTACCGCGGAGGAACCAAACAATACTTCTACGCAATACATGCTTTCACGTAAACATTAAAAGGAAAGGACTTTCATAGCTAACCCTTTAACCTCCACAAGTGATTGATGTGTAAATTCTGCTCGAAATTTTCAAACACTAACTAGCACAGGCAATCAAAACAAACCAACAAAAGATGTATACCAACTAAAGAGTGATATTATCTTGATGTAATGGAAACAAATGGCAGTCACAACAGTTAATAAGTAATCGCATCTTGGAAGTAAAAGGGTTACCAGAGATTGTTTCATAGTTTACATATATCCCACAAAGAAAACTAAGAAAAAGATCAATCAAGAATAGAAAGTCAAGAGGAATTTTTCTAGTTAATCTTTTCCGTTTTTTTTCTCTCTTTAGTTCCTCTTCTTCTTCTTCCTCTCCTCTCCTGGAAAGTTTTGTGATAATATTCTAAGTATACAACAATAGAAAGGGGGCAACCACTCTTGCCAGAGAAAGCGATTATCGATTATGGAACAAATTTCCAAGATAATACTTGTGCATGAGAACGTCAATTGCTGAAAATTCGCTTGAAACTTTGTTACCACTAAGTTTTCTCGAACATGTGCCACTTTCTAGTGGTTTCCTCTAAAGGATGTTTCTGATATTTGAGATTTCGAAATCGTGCACAATTAAAAAATCACTTAAAACACAGTTCGAAAGCGAACCTCAGGGGAAATTGGCTGCTGAAACGCATTCTGCTGGCAAGGACAGTAACAACAACTGAACGGTATTACAACTAACTAGGCTAAGATTTTTTCCCACATCATCTTCTGTCATACATATTTGACCATTTCCTCCAGATCTGTGCCGTAGTAGTATAATATTGTCAGTAGCAGAAGGGTGATAACTGCACGCCTTTGGCCCACGACGAATTTCTCGATCGATTTTTGACAGCTCCTTTGACAAGGTTTTATAGTTGCAATCCACTTTGGCTAGTTAGGCATGCAGGTTACAGTTGCCATGGTAAACCAAAGATTTCCTGCTAGGCACACGCCAGTGTCAGCTCCGCCCTTCATATTCTGGAATTTCCATTTATGGACATCAAATAAACCAACTTTAACCAATAAGTACAATGTATTTCCGAGAAGAAGAGAACTCATCTCCGTAAAATAATATAAAGAAATGGGTGAATTGGAGAGTTCAAGTTCGAGAAATATTCAAGCCATGAAGACAACGAAAACGACGAAGAAGATGATGAGAACGCAGAATATTTTTATAATTAACCACCTATTTGAGGTCACTGACTGAAAATACTTCAACAGTTCGCCATGTGCGGCCTCAACATTTAGTTCTGTTTCTTCAACATTGGCATCAATCCTGAAAGAAGATAATGGATCATCAGAATTACAGTAACTACGCATTGACAAGTAGACTGACTTTCAAAGTGAGATACGACTTCTCATTAATGCACGTATGGAGTTTTCAGCATGCTCATCAAACATCTTTCCATACACCTGAAAATACAAGCATGCTCCTACCTCTGTACAATTTCAGTAAGGTTTAAAATAAAAGTGTCCCATACATTTGAAAGGAAAAGAATCCTGTTTGCGACAACAACTTCGTTTACAAACAACCTTTGCTTGAATTTTAGTTTTAGCTTTGTATCAGATTGATTGATAGGGTAGCACAAGTTTCCTCGACCAATAAAACAGCGAAGTAAACCAAAAACGAAACAATAACGGATCAACCTATGATGGAATTGTCCTGACCAAACAAAATTCGGATCAGCCTATGTTGCAATTTTCCACACAAAACAAAATTCGGATCAACCTATGTTCGATTTTTTTCTACAAAAAAATAAAGTTCGGATCGAGCTATATTGCAATTGTCCTGACAAAACAAAATCCGGATCAACCTATGTTGCAATTTTCCACACACAAAAAAAAATTCAAAACAAAATTCGGATCAACCTATGTTGCAATTTTCCACACAAAAAAAAATCGGATTAACCTATGTTGCAATTTTCCACACAAAACAAAATTCGGATCAACCTATGTTGCAATTTTCCACGCGAAACAAAATTCGGATCAACCTATGTTGCAATTTTCCACACAAAACAAAATTCGATAGACGTGCCCTCGCATGTGAGGACCTGTTTCAGTCGAAACTCGCACGTACATTTCTAATCGTTTTAGGCATGCCAAGACAGGCATCCCTCCTCTCTAAGCAATAACGGATTACGATCGACACTGAAAAAGGCTCTTTAAAAAGCGGCCGATTGGTACACGTATGGAGTCTTCAGCATGCTCAACAAACATCTCTCCATACACCTGAAAACACAAGCATGCTCCTTCCTCTGAGCAATTTCAGTCAGGTTTAAAATAAAAATAAGTCACATACATTTAAAAGGAAAAGAATCCTCTTTGCGACAACAACTTCGTTTACAAACAACCTTTGCTTGAATATTAGTATTAGTTTTGTATCAGACCGATTTATAGGGTAGCACAAGTTTCGTCGACCAATAAAATAGCGAAGTAAAGCAAAAGCGAAGCAATAACGGATCAACCTATGTTGCAATTTTCCACACAAAACAAACTTCGGATCAACCTATGTTGCAATTGTCCTGACAGAACAAAATTCGGATCAACCTACGTTACAATTTTTCACACAAAATAAATTCGGATCAACCTATAGTGCAATTTTTCACACAAAACAAAATTCGGATCAACCTATGTTGCAATGTTCCACACAAAACAAACTTCGGATCAGCCCATGTTGCAATTTTCCACACAAAACAAACTTCGGATCAACCAACGTTGCAATTTTTCACACAAAACAAAATTCGGATCGGCCCATGTTGCAATTTTCCACACAAAACAAACTTCGGATCAACCTACGTTGCAATTGTCCTGACACAACAAAATTCGGATCAACCTATGTTGCAATTTTTCACACAAAACAAAATTCGGATCAACCTATGTCGCAATTTTTCACACAAAACAAAAATCGGATCAACCTACGTTGCAATTCTCCACATAAACCAAAATTCGGATCAACCTATGTGCAATTTTCCCAACGAAACAAAATTCGGATCAACCTATGTTGCAATTTCCCACACTAGGCAAAATTCGGATCAACCTCTGTTGGCATTTTCCAGACAAACAAAATTCGGATCAACCTATGTTGCAATTTTTTACACAAAACAAAATTCGGATCAACCTATGTTGCAATGTTCCACACAAAACAAACTTCGGATCAGCCCATGTTGCAATTTTCCACACAAAACAAACTTCGGATCAACCAACGTTGCAATTTTTCACACAAAACAAAATTCGGATCGGCCCATGTTGCAATTTTCCACACAAAACAAACTTCGGATCAACCTACGTTGCAATTGTCCTGACACAACAAAATTCGGATCAACCTATGTTGCAATTTTTCACACAAAACAAAATTCGGATCAACCTATGTCGCAATTTTTCACACAAAACAAAAATCGGATCAACCTACGTTGCAATTCTCCACACAAACCAAAATTCGGATCAACCTATGTGCAATTTTCCCAACGAAACAAAATTCGGATCAACCTATGTTGCAATTTTCCACACTAAGCAAAATTCGGATCAACCTCTGTTGGCATTTTCCAGACAAACAAAATTCGGATCAGCCTATGTTGCAATTTTCCACACAAAACAAAATTCGGATCAACCTATGTTGCAATTTTCCACACAAAACAAACTTCGGATCAGCCCATGTTGCAATTTTCCACACAAAACAAACTTCGGATCAACCAACGTTGCAATTTTTCACACAAAACAAAATTCGGATCGGCCCATGTTGCATTTTTCCACACAAAACAAACTTCGGATCAACCTACGTTGCAATTGTCCTGACACAACAAAATTCGGATCAACCTATGTTGCAATTTTTCACACAAAACAAAATTCGGATCAACCTATGTCGCAATTTTTCACACAAAACAAAATTCGGATCAACCTACGTTGCAATTCTCCACACAAACCAAAATTCGGATCAACCTATGTGCAATTTTCCCAACGAAACAAAATTCGGATCAACCTATGTTGCAATTTTCCACACTAAGCAAAATTCGGATCAACCTCTGTTGGCATTTTCCAGACAAACAAAATTCGGATCAACCTATGTTGCAATTTTCCACACAAAACAAAATTCGGATCAACCTATGTTGCAATTTTCCACACAAAACAAACTTCGGATCAGCCCATGTTGCAATTTTCCACACAAAACAAACTTCGGATCAACCAACGTTGCAATTTTTCACACAAAACAAAATTTGGATCAACCTACGTTGCAATTCTCCACACAAACCAAAATTCGGATCAACCTATGTGCAATTTTCCCAACGAAACAAAATTCGGATCAACCTATGTTGCAATTTTCCACACTAAGCAAAATTCGGATCAACCTCTGTTGGCATTTTCCAGACAAACAAAATTCGGATCAACCTATGTTGCAATTTTCCACACTAAGCAAAATTCGGATCAACCTCTGTTGGCATTTTCCAGACAAACAAAATTCGGATCAACCTATGTTGGACTTTTGTCTACAAAAAAAAAAAAAAAATTCGGATCAAACTATATTGCAATTGTCCTGACAAAACAAAATTCGGACCAACCTATGTTGCAATTTTCCACACAAAACAAAATTCGGATTAACCTATGTTGCAATTGTCAAGACAAACAAAATTCGGATCAACCTATGTTGAACTTTTTTCTACAAAAAAAAAATAATAAGAATCAAGCTATATTGCAATTGTTCTGACAAAACAAAATTCGGATCAACCTATGTTGCAATTTTTCACACAAAACAAAATTCGGATCAACCTATGTTGCAATTTTCCACACAAAACAAAATTCGGATCAACCTATGTTGCAATTTTTCACACAAAACAAAATTCGAGAAACGTGCCCTCGTATGTGAGGAGCTGTTTCAGCCGAGACTCGTAAGTACATTTCTAATCATTTTAGGCAGCCAAGACAGAACTCCCTTCTCTAAAAGCAATAACGGATAACGATCGACACTGAAAAAGGCTCTTTAAAAAGCGGTCGATTAATACATGGAAGGAAATATGTTAAAGTTCACACGGCCACCAGGTGGACAATCAGACATAGTTTGAACACGAAAGGAGTTTTCATAGTTTGAACAAGGAAGGAGTTTTCAACATGCTTAACAAACATCTCACCATACACCGGAAAATACATGTATGCTCTTCCCTCTGTGCAGTTTCAGTCAGGTTTAAAATAAATATAAGTCACAACATTTAAAAGGAAAAGAATCCTGTTTGCGACAACGACTTCGTTTACAAACAACCTTTGCTTGAGATCTCGAGAGAAAAAAGCCTCGAGAGACGAGGCTCGCATGTCTCGACGAGGACCTGCTTCAGCCGAAACTCATACACATCATTATGGACATGCCAAGACAGAAAGAACTTCCTTGTCTCAAATCGAAAGATCGCTTACTTTCATGATTTCTTCAAGAACCAAATTTTCAGATGTTTTAATAAATATATCAATAACTTCCGAACCTTTCAATCTGTTCCTCCTGTTCTTTAACCATGTGAGCGAGCTCTTGAAATATACTTCCAAGTTCAACAATCGTTGATTCAATGCTCTCCATTGCATTCGCCCGGCTTTGTATGTACTCGTCCTGTTAGACAATTAACAGAAGGAAAAAAAAAAAAAAGGATTACACTGAGCCAATTAATTCTCTACACTAAACCAGTCACAATATATGTAGTCAGTACACAGTTGACAGGGTTCGATCGCCGAGACAGTTGAAAAATCAATTCTGAGCCTCAATAACCCAGATATGACACTAATAGATGTATGATGCTTGGATCTAAAAATATTACGAAAATGTCAATGTTAAATTTTGGGATTGACTGTATTGCGAATGAGCGACAACGTCGGCGATGCATTTTTAACGCTAAGCAAAAGAAATGAAGAGAAAACAGCACATCTTCAGATTACAAAAAAGACGTTTTATCACCTACCAGTACGATTCAAGCCCAATTATGCATGTAGCTAACCCAAAGCCACACCAGACACTTAGGTAATTTCCCAAGTTACGTGGGCATTTCCCGAAAGACACGTGTGCGAGAAAAGCGTGGTACAAACGTCAGATTTAGAGCAGTCAAAGTTGTCTGGTTAGTTTTTAACTAAAATGGAGTATCTTTTCTTATATTCCTTAAGATAGGACCAATCCATTACCCTCGTTGCTCGACAAAGGTAATTCGTAGCTCAGTTTCGTTCCGTTTTTATCATGCTTCATAAAACGTTCTTTTGTATGTTTTGTCGCAACAAGCCGACTAGCAAACGGTTTGTTTTCTCATCGAATTTTTGCCATGTGTTGCTTTCTAGTTTTACGGTTCTTTCTGCATCCTGTTATGGCAATTAAAGATGTTGTAATTCTGTCAGCGATGTATTCGTGAATTGTTTGGATCGAATTTGGATCTAGTTATCGTCGAAGGGTCGCCGGTAAAAATGCATGCAATAATGAAAATGGCGAGTTTGATAAGAGTTCCGAATTCAGTTGGAGCAAAGGTTACGTTTGCTTTCGCCATGGTTTTTGGCGAAACACTTTGTGGACACTTCCTCCTTAAGTTTTGGCGAAAGCGCACGCGTTTACCATGCATGGGGCCTACAGAAAGCTTACATACTCTTTCACCAGTGGTTTTGGCGAAGGTTTCAGTTGCCCAAGCGTTTTGGCGAAAGATTTTACACATTTTCACAACGGGTGTTGGCGAACTCTTTGCTCCCTTTCGCCAAAGCTTTTGGCGAAACCACTTGCTCGCTTGCACTTTAAGTCTTGGCGAAAGCTGGTAGGCGAACAATTTTGCTATTGGTTTTGGCCTAAGCTATAGTAGGTCCACTATGTTGACGAATGCCACATTAATAAACAAAAACGCTAAGCCCAAATCATCATATTCATCAAACGCACGGCATTTAAAGGTTTGGGCGAGTTTCACAAATGTGACGACTTCGGAATATTTTCGTCAAATTCATCTTTTTTCTTTTTACTCGTTTCGTTCTCCTTAAAGATCAAATCTTTGAATATTTTATTTAAAGGTTTGGGCGAGTTTCACAAATGTGACGACTTCGGAATATTTTCGTCAAATTCATCTTTTTTTCTTTTTACTCGTTTCGTTCTCCTTAAAGATCAAATCTTTGAATATTTTATCGCAATGGTGAAACCATAGGAGTTGGTCCAAAAAAGAGCATGTTATAAGAGAATCATACTCAGCCTTTACTGTGAGAAAAGGGTAAAAATCTATTCAACAACCGTGAAACTCTGACCTCCTTTTGAGCGGTATTCAGCGCATTTTACGTTCCCTCCTCTTAATTGAATAAATCATACAAAACTGGCTAATTGTGAAGAACACCTCCTTGAAAAAAACCTGTCAGCCGACAGGCAGCCTTCAGTTGCTCGAATGTCGGCCAAAAGGTTTTCCAGGGTGCTGCTGCTCCCTTCACCATTATCCAATATTATGGTCATCGTTTCTAACCTGTTGTTCAACCAGCTGCATTTGGCTCATATCATTGGACATTAGGGGTGCGGAATCCATGTGATCCATATCTATGGCCACTGCTGAGTCACCACCTTGTCCCAAGCCCCTTGCTACATTAGATCTCTGCAATACAGAGCCTGATAATGAAGATGGAGGTAGGCTGTCCACTGCAGCACCTTGGGAGAACTGCTCTCTTCTCTCCTTCTGCTGTTTCAGATTCTACATGAATAAAAGGAAACAGTAATCAGCCAGGATTGTACATGTACCGTAACTATGTGCTTATAAATCTTTCCACCCCCACAAATAGTGGACAAGTAAATGTACCTCTTCCTCACATTGTCCACTTGTTATCCATCAAGCAGGTGATAAGAAAAACCAGATTTAAGCTAGATTATTTTCATCCTTGCATTGAATGAAACTGCCAATAAAATCTTGTAGCTACGTGTGGCAGCTAATGCACATGTACCAAATGCAGAGCCACCTCCATCTTCACTTGTACATGTACATGTATCCTTAAATTCGGATACAAAATATACGTGTAAAACTAGTTCACATTGCAAAAAATGTCTTCCTCTCAGAAATCACGGTTTGCAATGTTTTTGTTTTCAAGATTAAATCTAAAAACAAAAACAACCATAATGTGAATAAACCTGTCCCAATAACAACATGCCACTGGGTCATCAATCTACACATGTGAATATTCAAAAGGTACATTCACTATGCAAGTGAGGATATTATGAAAATTTTGGTGGTTCATCAATGTCCATATAATAATTTGTGTAAACCTAAACTGGTTCTATTAGGCTAAAACTAACTTAAATTGAACCTTCCCACCAAGAAGAGCATCCAAGCTTAATTCAGATTAAAAACTTGGTATAACTGAAGAAAAACAAGTCTTTGAGAGGCTTTAAAGAGAGACCTCAGTATGGTACATTGTAACTTGTAGCATTAAACAAACAGAAATTCATGATATTTACCTCGGTTCTTACTTCCAGGACACCTTTGAAGTCCTTTGACATTCTTGCTAGTTTTGACTGCAATGATGATAAACTTTTTTTGGTTACATAAGATTGATTAATGGTACATTGTCAAACAATTTCCCCATATCTCACCAAAAAAGTGTTATTACTGTAAGTATTGGACAAAGTTACAGATTCTATTATTAAACATGTTTCTACACTGCAAATCTGAAATTTTAGATGCCAAATGACTAACAGAGCTTCTGGTCTAGTTCTCATGACCAAAGCAAGGACAAATGCTATCATACATACAATTTATGTTACAGTTTTTTCAGTTTTGGATAAACTAATAATCCCTTAGTTGATATACATAAATTTTATTGTCATCACTTATCTGCTTGATTTTGTTTTGGTATTTTAAGGAGAAATTCTGTTTTGGTCACACATGGGAGTTAATGAGCTAACCCTTTAACTCCAAAGATCTGATTGGTAATTCTCCCCCCTAGCTGCTACACATATTTTTAAAATTAATTATGAGAATTTGGTGCTAGATCAAGATGACAACTTTTACCTGATAAGTTTGAATATTCTCGTTAGCTGTTTGCTGGATAATGTAAGGGAGAAGTTTCATGTTAACCACTTCTGGGAGTTAACCCTTTCACTCCCACAAGTGACCAAGACAGAATTTCTCCTTACAATATCAATACAATATCAAGCAGGCAAGTGATGAGAATTGAGAAGAATGTCAATCATGAGATGATTAGTTGATCCAATACCAAATTCTCTGAACTAACATCATAAGAATTGTATGGCAGATAGTAAGGAGAATTCTTAATTAGATCTTGGGAGTGAAAGGGTTAAAGGGTTAAAGGAAGGTTGGCATTTCAAATGTAGCTTTCAGCGAATTTTTTAAGGATTGCACACTTTGGTTTTCTAAGCAAGAATCTCCAGCATAGGGGTTGGTACACATTCTTTCTCTCATAAGAACTAACAGGGTACAGGAACCTAGGGGGCCCTGAATATACCTAGACACCCATCATACATTTTAGAGTGTTATCTGGCTAAATAGCTGGAAGATTCTGACTGTACATACCTGAAGTGATAGTACTACTGTACTTGAGTGGGTCTGTAGATGCCTCCCTTGAGTACTAGCCTTAGATTTCACCAGCTAAAAGAAAAAAATTCACATTAAAGCACCATTAATTTGCTTTTACAGCTGCAGGTGACCTTAAACCTTTAAAAGAAGCTCTCACTGGAAATAAGGTTTAACACCACTCAACAGCAAGAAATACAGTGTGTAAGAGCTTTTGCATATAAAAAAGAGCTCCTTTAGGAGGTACATGTATTAAACTTAAAAAGCATTAATTAATTGTCAATTACAGACTTACACATTTTCGACAAATAGCATTAATCAAAGCAAATTAGCAGCATGTTTTCCAGATGTACACACAGATAAGCTGCACCCTTGATGTTGTTGTGTTAATAGGAATGTTAATTTTTTTTAAATACAAAATCAGTACTAGTAACCACTATAAGTGAAATCTGCATCTGGTATAGTTTTTCAGGGTAAATATATATTATTTATCTGATCTTGTTCCCGATCATGCAGCAATCTACATGTATATATCTACATGACTGTACATCTACATCTATATATTAACCCAGCTATAGGTAGAGCAATATCTGTCAACAATGTTGAACACTTGGACTATACATGTATCATGGAACGATTTGACAAAGCACAATAACAACGTGACTGCATGCTCTTCTCCACAGAATTTGCAGTACCACACATAACAATGAGGTAAGTGCAGGTGTTGAACATAGATTAGACATGCAAAATTAGTTAATGTAATGTGAAATAACCTCTTGTAACTGGGCAATCTGCTGGTTTAAACCAGTAATATCCTGTTTTATTATGTATGTCAGTTCCTGGATTTCCATGGGTCTGTCATCAAACAATGATTTCTTCTTGGCCACTGGCATAGAAAAGAGAAGGAAAATGCATCAAATACACACTATTACCTTGCATGGGTAAGTTAAACTCATAAATTTCATTTTCTCATGTATCTGTTCCATAATACATTGATATATAAATCACAGGCGTCATCAAAATGTGGTACAATTTAAAGTCATCTGTGACTATACAGCTCTAGGTGGCATGCAAGCTGCAGGCAAGTTTGTACTTGATGTTTTTACTGCATTGTGATGTCTCCAACAATCTACATGTTCTAATGAACAGATGTGCAACAACATTAAATCTATTGTTTTAATATAAAAAAAAAGAAGCAAAATGTTGTTGCTGGTGACATCAACTCTGGCTTTGCCCTCCAATAGATAACAAATATAAACCACTCAAAAACCATGTATAAATAAGCTTATTGTAAATTAATCAACCACAATTCATAATTCACCTCAGTGTCCATGGATATTTACACTGTACCTTGCAGTGCACCTTTAATGCTATCCCTTGTTTTATTATATAGTATACATGTACCTGTACAAAATATATAATTGTACAGACTACTACACTCTCTGTAACTAAACTAATGGCAGTGTCTTTGTGTTGATCATACAAACTCATGTTGCCACATATACATGAAAAACAATATTATGTTCATGAACACTATTATCACAAAAAAAGATTGTTCACTCAAAAGTTATGCAAGTCACATTATCAGGTTTTCTCAAGGAAAAAAAAGTCATGTCTGATAGCTCAGGGCTAGTGGATTTTTCCATCAGACTAGTGAATTCTGTGCTTTACTTGCCCAAAGGGCAAGTGAAGATTTTTGGAGAATTATAATTACAGAAGTACTGCAAAAATGTTTTAAATTCCTAATAAATTCATGCAGACCGAAAATCACTCGGACAAAGTGAAATCTGCATAAACAAGACTAGGTATCACATTACATGTCAGACAAGACATACTGAGATTTTGCACATAAATTAAAAGCAGGTTTGAAAAAAACTTTGGAGGTAAATGTTGCCCATGACTAATTCATACTAGGTCAGAGAAAGCTATTAAATTTTGTCTAAATTTTGCTTCATAATCATTTGTGAGGAACGTAAACAAAAGGTTTTGATCCTGAACTCCAGTGAGAAATTTATTATGGTTTTAGAAATTGGTAACATGCTTTTTAACCCTTTAACTCCCATGAGTGACCAAGACAAAATTTTTCCCTACAATATCCATACAATATCAACCAGATAAGTGATGAGAATAAAGACAAATATCAATTTGGGGATAATTAGTTGATCAAATACTAAATTCTCTGAGTTAACATTACAAGAATTGTATGGTTGAAAGTAGGAAAAATTATAAATTTGATCTGGGAATTAATATGGTAAATTCTAAACATAGGTGTTTGTTGATTAAAATATATAGACCACATTGTATTGTTTTCACTTTTCAGGAAAATCTTTCAGATGAAAAGTTGAAACCTAAAATCCATGAACCATAAATTCACATAACTTTTGTTTGCATAATTGACTTCTGCGTGAACTTGAAACCACCTTCTTCAGAAAAATGATCTTCTTAATTACTTTTGAATTTGCTATCAAATTTTTACCTTTAACAATATCTCTTTGGTTACTTGAAATTTTTTTTATTGAGATGCACTTTCACTGGCAGCTTTTCTGATTGTCAACATTGTCATTTAGTGTGTCCATTGAGAGCTTTGGTTTCACAGTTTCAACACCGTGTTTTTTCCTTAAAAAATGTATTTTTAAATTCTAAAATGTCTGAAATACATGTCTAAAAGATTTTTGGGCTAGTAAAAATGACTTTCAGGCTAGTAAATGTTAGTTACAAACCAAAGCTCTTTGCGCCCTGCTACAGCTGTATAATTAAGATGCATTATACCTTATTCATTACCTAATAACAGTTCAGTTCACCACACTGTACAGTCAGTACATGTATTTACTCATTTGGTGTTGGCATAACCTACAACATTCTAATAATTATATCGGAATTCTCATGGCTTTCACAATTTTTAAGTATTAAGTACAATGTACATGCATGTTCTGTATGTCATTAGACTGAAATAAATTAAAATAGAAATGGTGAAAAAAATTTCCTTCAAACTTACAGATGGCAAGCTTTTCCAGTTTAGCAAAAGTATTGCTGATATCCTTTCCAATGTGCCTAAATATGAGAAGGGAATATAAATGTAATGGAAAATAATAAATAAAGGGATAAGTTTCTAAAGAAACTGTGGTGCTGCGTCGGTGGGAGGGTATAGCAGGTAATTTAGTGTTAACAACTGGGTTGAAAACGTAAATTAGACACCATAAAGGGTAAAAAAAGCTGACGTTTCGAGTGTTAGCCCTTCATAAAAATTTTTAGCATACATGACAACAATTTTTGAAGGATACTATCATTCTGACGAAGGGCTAACGCTCGAAACGTCAGCTATTTTTACCCTTTACGGTGGCTAATTTACGTTTTCAACCCAGTTGTTAACACCTGGAAAATAATAAAGCTCAGCAACCTAGCTATGCATAAACAGCAATAAGTATTTAGCTCAAATGTTAGAGAGCTTCTCCTCTTCTCAGTCCTCAGTTCACATTGTTGACTCACTGAGTTTCTTTTAAAACAATTTTCCATTGAGTATATCAAAAAAGCAGAGGGTGCAATTTGAGATTGCTGTGGTTTTAGCTATTCTCGACACAAATCAGATAAAACACTAAATACAATTACACCTTGGTCATTTGCATTTTCCAGCACTTCAAGCAGTTTGCTTGTTTCAAATTTGAGTTCTCATTGGCTAATCATAATGTTAACCTTTGTTCTGATTGGTTACTGGGATAACTTAGATTTTGGGTTTTTAGATACTCAAACAAACACTGCCCTTACTAATGAATTACTACGCATCAACTGTTTGCCCAAAGCTACTTACTTTTTGAATAGAATTCTGGGATATCATTAGTATCTACCACCGGGTTAGAGAGATTTTTTTACAATAGTGACATAGTGGCATCTGTAGTAAAATTTTTAGCATACATGACAACAATTTTTGAAGGATTGCATGTAGGTTACTCTTTGGAATTTCAAAACCCTGGGCTCCACTTACTTCACCCTACAAGTGTTCACTTGGTAGTGTAAATTAAATCATATGGTTTCAGGGGATCTGGTAAGTATTGAGGGATAGTATAAAAAGGACACAGAGCTAGCTTTCACATGCAACACACCAGGAATAAAACAGACATGGCAACAGCAATGAAATTTCTACCCACTGCACACTCTGGAAAAGTCCACTCTTCATTTCATTCCCACTCTACATTCACAGTTGCATTTTTTCATTTTTCATCTTTTTTTTCTTTTCTATCACAGCAATACACCAATCACATTTACTCTACTTACTTGAGTAAGTGTCCACAGTCTGGTAAGTGCCCTCCCCTCTCAATTAAGCATCCCCCTTCCCTCCCCTTTCTCTACATGTATTGTACAAAAATATTAAGTCTGATATCAATCAAACAGGAATTCCCATACTAGGGCATGAAATTGCACCTAATACAGGTGCCAATGCGACTAAATTTTTCACTTTGACAACCAAATCCTGAAAATTAGTCGCCAAATTGGCGACTAGAATGTTTCATCACAACCTTACCTAGAAATATAGTGAATTAAAAAGATTTGCAAAGATAAATCTGTGGCAAACTTCCTTGTCAAGTTTGTTTCCAAAACAAAGCACATGCATCTCAATCAATAACTAGACGCCATCTTGGATTTAGGTGAGCTTGAACACTGCATATCATCCATTCTAATGTCCACTTTCTAGCATGTTAAAGATATTTTCCCTAACTTAATTTCTAGAACGATGACAGCGTAAAAAAGTATTTGAATTGTCTTTGAAAATGGCGACCAACTTTTTTTGAATTGGCTACCACTTTGAAGAATTCAGGAGCCAAGTGGCTATCAGAAAAAAAAATTAACTTCATGCCCTGCATACAGCCGTGCATGGACTTTTTCAAAATTACGGGAATGCAAAAAAAGAAAGATAAATATTGTAGCAGGCTGGCAATTTTAGGAAAGCAAGTTTCTAGATAGTGGCTGAAAGTAGTTCCACTCCACTCTCACTCAGAGGGGTTTACATTAATTTTATTCCCAAATTTGATGGCATCCAGAATGACCCAAAGAAAAGAAACTCCATGAACAATAGCACAACCACAATATTTTCTTACTTGGCAATGACAAAAAATTGACTTTTCTGGAGTCCACCTTGGCGTTGGTGGTCATGCCTGTTTCCAGCAAAATTATTTCCCTGCAAAAAAGTTAGTCACATATTAATGACAGCACTGCTTGATAAACTGTATGAAGAAAATTTTTCTAGCTTAGCAAGGTAAGGCACTTGACCATACACTTTTATTGGAGTTTCACAAGTATATATATATATATATATATACATGTATGAACCAAACCAAAAAATTTGATTTGATGTAGGCCTGACAACATCTTTTTGGTCAAAGAAATGATATTGTAACAGCTTTTATTGCTCCAGGCACTGTGCCTCAAGGCCATACAGTTAACCCCTTAAACTACCAAAAGTGATCAACATGTGACTTCTCCTTATAATATCCATTCACTATCCAGCAAACAGGTAATGAGAATACTCAAAATTATTGCATGCAATTTGTTATCTTGATTTAACAGCAAATTCTTGTCATAAATTTTCAAGGAAATGTGTAGCAGCTAGTGGGGAGAATTAACAATCAGATCTGAAAGGTTAGGGTTGAGTTTTCTTATCATTAAGCCACTGGCCTTAGAGCATGCTGCAGAGCATGAGTGAGGATGGTCAAAACTCCTGTGGGCAAATGGGCCATAGGCATGCTTTTGACATAACCCAAGATGGAGCTGAGAATTTTATAAGTACGTTTGCTCTGGGAAGTGAATGCAGTGTTTTAAATTGCAATTTTAAATTGGAAGTGAATGCAATGTTTTAAATTACAATTCAACACGTGTATCGTTGGCCTCGCCCTACAAGATGTTTACAGTGTATAATATTTAGATTGCTTTCTTTTTTCAATAACCAACAACTGTAGGCTAAAACTGTAAGCTGTAAGTGGTAATCACCTCTGAGTAAAAGTAGAACTGAAATTACTTGAAATTAAGCCATGGCCGACTGACAAGACAACTCGTTCCCCTTAAAACTCCCAATCGCTGAACGCTTAACGAAATGATAATACCTCATTCCTGAAGAATTCATGGCTCTTACAAAATGATTTTACGGACCAGTTTAAGGATTTTGAAGGGACTACCAACATCCGGCTTATCAGTCGAGTACTTCCCAGAGACTTTTCCAAATACCGGCAAATATAAAGACTTTACCTGTCTTGATTGAAGTGATTTTACGGCGGAGATAAACTCCGAGGTTCTGTCTCTACATGTTGTCATATCCACAGTTATCGAACTGAAGTTGTTTTCGCTTGAAAATTCCACTCGAGTTTGATCGTTGTCTTCACCGCTCGATCGTGTTCGGCGGCGTCTAGTGATCATGGGTAAATTACATCGGCGAAAATTTATCCCTCATTCCTTCCCTAAGTAGTTCTTAAGCTTCTGATAGTACTAGTGAGTCGTTTTAGACAAATCAAGGAAGGTAAAGGTAAGGAAAATTTGCGAGAAATATGTTTCGACACTTGAAAAAAGAAAACGAAGCAAATGGTGACGTAGAGGTTAAGGATTACCGCTGCTCGTCAACATTGCGGGCGCTAGGTTGAAGTGCAAAGAAACATGAATTTGGACCAAAATCATTCGTTTTCGATTAAAAAGACGAGCATCGTGTGATTTCAGTGAAAGGCAGAGGCAAAATTATGATTGATTCAAGCCATACCAGTCCATTTCCACCTCTGTTTGTCGCACAAGCCGGTCAACTTGAAATGTGATGGGGTTAAAGCCAAAGAACTTCATAGAAACAGCGCGTTCAGTTTACACTGAATATTCACCTGAGTCAAGTTACGAGGGGACGATGGCACGGCAAACTTTATTTCCGGCTAACTCTACTACTCCAGCTACACTTGGGCCTGGGATTTCAAGGCCAGCATATCTTGCTCTGACAATTGTTTTTACGACGCTCTACGCTTTGTTATTTTTTATGATAGTGGTGCAACTCTGCCTGATCTTATACCACAAACATCGCCGTTTATCGTATCAAAGTGTGTTCTTGTTCATCTACCTGCTTTGGGCTGCGTTGAGAACTACGCTGTTTTCATTTTACTTCAAAAATAGTGCTCAAACAAACACATTTCATCGTTTTATACGGTGGCTCCTGTACGCATTTCCAATCTACTTACAGTTTCTTACCCTATCTCTGCTGACATTGTATTTGGCAAAGGTAAGCTACTTAGATAAAAGACGTATACAACAGCAACTAAACTTTCCTATCACTCATTGACTTTTCATCTTTTAGATTACAAAGTTTACGTATTTTTAGATTCTTATGTAATTTCTACGCAGTTTTAGTTGTAAAAACTCAATTCTTTAAAAGGACAAAACTTAATTGTTATGCCTACGGCGCACTTCCGCCTTGTTCCGGTCACTTAAATAAGACGTCAATAATTAGTACCACGTACAAGGTAGGTCCAACATATCTGTGTTAAAGCGAAGATAGCATCCTTGCAGTGAGCTGCAGCTAAAACAGTTGCAGAAAAGAATTCTGAAAAACCCGATGGCAGTAGTTGGGTGCTTCACGCTACCAGTTGAGCTTTGAGGCCACATGTGTGGGGGGTTTCCGGAGTGAGGCACTGCCCACTACATCGAAGTAACAACTCATGAACTGAGGCAAATTACTGTTAGAGACTTAACCATGCTGGAAACTATATGTCCAGAGTATTGCATGTGTGTTAAACGACCCTTTGTCCAAATTTAGTGATTTTAAGTGTTACTGAATCAATAATCTTCCAGTTTAGATGTAGGTGTTCACTTTTGAAGAGAAAATGAATGTTATGTTTGGGAAATTTCAGTTTATGAAACTCATATTAATCAATTGATTACCAAAATTATCTTTCCTTAAAAAATTAGTTTTCTAATTTGGTAAGGACATCAGTGATAGACTCAGATGCACCTTTTGTGCTAATTTCTTTGTTCTTGCCACATTTCGAAGTCATCTGTGATCTGTTAGGGCACAGATGCATGACAATAAATAATATACTTGTTTAATATTTAGTTAGTAGAATAGTAAGTCAGATTGCAGTATTTTTGTAAGAACCTTACTAGATTTATGCTCATGTGTTGACTGAAGAATGTCTCTTCAACTATTTTATTATAAGATACAACTATTAGTTCCCCCATTGTTTACATTGGGACTCTCAGAGGATGATGCATGTAAAAATGAAATGTTATTGCATATAGCTCCGTTACGTATCAGGACCAGTATAATTAATCTTTAGCCCTTTAACTCCCATGAGTGACCAAGACAGAATTTCACCTTAGTTTATCTATACAATATCATGCAGACAAATAAAGGGAACAAAGAAAAAATATCAGTTATGGGAGTACTAATTGATCCAATAGAAAATTCTCCAAACTAACATAATGAGAATCATTTGGCAGACAGTGAGGAGAATTACTAATGAGATCTTGGGAGTTAAAGGGTTAAAATTGTTATTTTCTATGACTCAGAATATATGAAAATCATATATGTAATTTGTGGATTAAGAAATGAATAATGGAATCAATGTTCACAGTAATAAACAGTACTAATATGCAGTATAGTGAAAGTAAGGCCTGAAAAAATTCAGGCTTGTATGGGATTTGAAATAATAACCTCTGCAATACCTGTGCAGTGCTCAACCAATTGAGCTAACAAGCCATTACTTGGAGCTGGTCATTATGTTGATTTGTAACTGGATTTGAAGCCATAACCTGTGCGATACTGGTTCAATCCTGTTCAGGGCCTTAATTTTTTTTCAGGCTTTATTTTCACTACTGCTTTAGTAGTGTTCATTGCTACAAAGATCAATTTCATAATTAATGAATTTGTTCTTTTCTCTTTAGGTTGTCTTAAGGACCAGAAGAAGCACTCTTGAGCCTTTAACATTCAGGTAAATAGATAGGTCTTAGTGATTGGCTTCATTACTTGTGCAGTGCCTCTTATGGTTATAACTGTCAGATTAGATAATTATGTAGATGTTAGTATTGATAATCTAATAGATATTTTTTCCAACACAAGTTGGCACTTTCCAGCTTTGTTTGTATCTGGAAACATTCAGGGTAGCATACTGTATATGCACCAATAATCCCTCTTTCTGTTAAGCCCTCTTCTTTGAAAAGCCTCTTCCCCTTCCCCTCTGTCTGGAACCTCAAGTTTTGAAGAAGCTCTCCCCCATCTCCCTTCTGAGTACCCATGTGAAGAATTGAATGAAAAAATGATACAGTCTACTCCTGTCATTGTGGACATCCTCAGGGGGAGATTTACGGTCTGTAATAGCAAGAGTCCGTAATGGCAGGGTACCATGAAAAAATTGCTTAGTCTCTAAACATATGAAATGATATGTAGAGGAATTGTTTCTTTATTTACCTTTATTGTAATGTCGCTTTATATTATGAGTCAGGCTTGTTTGGACGAAGTGCTAATAAGTGTTCGCTTTAGTGAGAGAAAAAAGAAATGAAATGTTGCAATAGGGGGTATGAAAGTGTGCATATTTTCATAATAGTTAGAGGCGATTATAATAATTTCTTCATGTGTAGTGGGGTATAGGAATACGAATTCCAAAATTCTGAGGTTTGCTTCCTCATGGGGAACTCAGACTCAGAATATTTTGCTCTTTACTTTTATTTTTCCATGCCATAATGATATGTGGCTCAGCAAAATACCTGGCAACTTGCAATACTGGGGAATATACATTGGCCTGATATCTATACAAAGAAAAAGTATGAAGGGCCAATATTCCCTAGTGTAGCTCAAGTCAAGTTAAAAAGTAGTTTATTGTATGGCGCACGGACTAAACTTGGTTATTTTGAATTTGCTAGCTTTAATGATTGAAAGTACATGGCTTATGACCATTTCCATGGAAATGGTCTGTATGGCAAAATCCCAGACTAGTAAGAACCAATCAGAACACTTGCATTTACCTCAAGACTTCCTTGCCATAGAATAACATATTTCAAACCATCAAATAGGAGACTTACCTGTATGCACTAAGATTTACAAACAATTCTAAAGATAAGTATGGTATTTATTTTTTGCTGTTTTTGCCAACAGGAAATACAACAGACTGTATCTTCCTAGTTCATTTGCTGCAGTGAATATTGTTTTCTTTGCTCTTAACATTACAAGCTCTTTTGTGTGTCATGAACAAGATGCTCATGACACACTAGTCATATTGCGGGTCGTTGTAAATGGACTGCTGTTTGTTGTTGTTGGTGTTGTTCTCTGTTTCTGCATTATTAAGGTATGTTTACCTTCTCATCATTTGCAGTTGTATTGATTTCTTAGTAAATAATTTAATGGTCAAAGTCCTACAATTTTTTCAGTCCAGGGAGGTGTGACAGAAGTTTGCCCCTTCTATTTTTACTTTGAAATGATGTTGTTGTCATGTTAAACTGTCTCCATTCCAGTAGCCATGCATAATTTGACTTTTTTTGGTGGCTTTCATGTTTGATGGTAGGTGACACATGGCTCTTGAGATTTTGTGACAACACTGTTATTTTAGTGTCAAAGCCCTGTCACCAAACTTTTACAGTGCCCCACTCAACTGATAATTGTTAAAAGCTACTATTGGAAATTCTGCACAAAAATTGGTAAGCATTACTTGAACTTTTTTTTTTCTTTTCACAGATTACAAGAGCACCAGCTGTCAATGTTTTACTGGAGGGTCAGGTACTTTGTGCAAGTATTAATATTTAATGATGATTACATTAGTTTTATTTCTCCCATTTTTATGTATTTGTTACTAAATATCAGTTCATTGCAGGGAGCAACAACCAGACAAGGTATACTACTGTGTGTGCTGGTAGTCCTGCTCTATTTGTCTAGAGTAGTTTACAACCTAATTGCAGTCGCTGTACCTCATGATTTGTCTTCATTTGGCTATGGCTGGATTAATGTTTCTGATGAGGTACGTAGAGTTATGAAATGAATTATGAAGTCAAATTTCTAATTTAAAAGAAACTCTGGTGTTGCATTGGCATGGTTATTACAAATTGATTTGGTTTTTATGAAGTAAGCTTGTTGATGATGTGAATTGGCCATCATTAAGAGTTTCTAAAGCTGACATTTTAAGTGGTATCCCTTTGTCAGAGTGTAAAAACTCTTTACTGTGGACAATGTGCATCATGATAAACCTGAAATCATCTATACATGTTTCAAGTTTGGTTGATGGTTATGATGCTGTTGCTGTCAATTGTTACAATAAGGTTCTTACATTATACCCTACTAAAGCAATACCAACTCAAATTATTATTCAATTATTAATTATAACCCCTTAACCCCTTTTAACTCCTAAGGTCTGATTGTTAATTCTCTCCTGTAGCTGCTACACATTTCCTTGTAAATTAGTTATGAGAACTTGGTGCTAGATCAAGATAGCAGCGATAAGTTTGAATATTCTGATCACCTGTTTGCTGAAGAATGTATGGATATTGTTGGGAGAAGTTTTATGTTAATCACTTCTGGGAGTTAAAGGGTTAACTGCCAACCCCACTGAGAAAACCTGTG